CACTTCTTCAGGCCTGGAACTATTTTATATTTACCATTAACCTTTATGATCATTTACTCCAAAGTAGAAGTTTTCTCTCAACTTTAGATACACAACTGGGGACCCTACATACTGTTCTGAAATGGGGGTCCCTGTCCTTGAGAGGCTCGCAGTGCACTGGGGAGGGGACAGGGACCCAGCGGCATGTAGAGGGACCGAAGGCCAGGGCTCACTGAGGTTGGCGGCGGGTGCTGGTAGAGGAAGCTGGTTTCAGGGTGGTGGAGCGACAGCACTGTGTGCCCCACACTGACTTAGTGTCGCAAGCATGCCCAGGGAACCCGATCTGTCCCCAGCTTTTAAAAAGCCTTGTGGTTGGTGTATGCTCCCATGGCCCTTTAGGTATTTGGCCGTAAGTCAGTGCATCATTGGTATACCTTAAACACGGAAGCTGGGTTTTCTTTCCCCCTGTTCCTACAGGAAGCAGTGCTGACAACCATGGATATCCTCCGCGATGGATTCGGATTCATGCTGGCGTTTGGAGATCTGGTGTGGGTGCCGTTTATCTACAGCTTCCAAGCCTTTTACTTAGTCCATCATCCTAATGAAGTGTCTTGGCCAGTGGCTTCTTTAATTATCGTTCTGAAACGTGAGTGTTAGTTTCAGTCTCTGTATGGTGTGTGTGTGTTAAATATCACGTGCTGAGTCTTGTGCTCTGGTGTCCTTTTTTTTTTTTTTTTTTTTTTTTTTTTTTAGAATTAGAGACGCAGACAGGGCTCCCAGCCAATGATTAACTTCCCAAATACCCGTGACAGCCCCCAGCTGGGGCCACAGCTGGGGATCTCAAATCTAGAGCTCCCGCATGGGTGGGATCCAGATACTTGACCCATCACAGGCGCCTTCCAGAATACATTAGAAGGAAGCTGGAAAGGACAGTAGTGCTGGGGCTTGAACCTGGGCACTCCTCAATGTCTGCCCCTGGTGTCTGCCTGTTTTATTTATCTGAAGGTCAGATACACAGAGAGAAGGAGGGACAGAGAGAGGTCTTCCATCCACTGGTTCACTCCCCAGTTGGCTGCAGTGGTACCAACCTGAAGCCAGGAGATTGTTCTGGGTCTCCCACGGGAGTGTAAGGGCCCAAGCACTTGGGCCATCTTCTGCTGCTTTCCCAGGCCATAGCAGAGAGCTGGATTGGAAGTGGATCAACCAGGACTTGAACTGTTGCCCATATGGGATGCTGGCACTGCAGGTGGCAGCTTTACCCGCTCGGCCACAGCCCCGGCTCCCAGAGGTGTTTCTCACCATTTGAGGACTGATAAGTGTCATGGTGATGAGTGGTGACAGTGTCTGATGCGGGCACTTTGATCGTGCTGTTAGCGTGTTTGGGGGACTGTAGTCTTGTGAGTTTCCTGGATGGTGACAGTAGTGGGGCTTCAGACTCTGACATCCTAGGGCTGAGAGGTTCTGAGTTGCTATTAAAAAAATCAGAGTATTCTTTGCTTGGGAAATTTCCTCAGGACACAAATAATTTCTCTTAGAAACTATGATTTTAAGTGCGAGATTACATCTAAATTGTTAATATGGAAACATATTTTTAAATTACAGTCTCTGGGTATGTGATCTTCCGATGTGCAAATTCTCAGAAAAATGCATTCCGGAAAAACCCGGCTGATCCCAAGCTGGCACGTAAGTACTGGTTCATGTTTATATAATGTGTATTTCGGAAGATTTTATGTCTTGTTGTTTGGAGGTCATTACAGGAAATCCTTATTTTTATATTAGATTTGAAAACCATTCACACTTCGACGGGAAAAAGTCTCCTCGTCTCTGGATGGTGGGGCTTTGTTCGCCACCCCAATTACCTGGGCGATCTCCTCATGGCGCTGGCCTGGTCCCTCCCGTGCGGTAAGCACTCGGCAGGCCGGGCCCTCAAGCCTCTGGGAGCACAGGGTGGGCAGGGCACCGGGAGGCTGGCTGGGCATCCGTGGCCATGGCCACCAGGGCAGCAGGAGCTCACAGCCTGCAGTGGTACTGATGCTTCTAAAAGCCAAACGGGGAAGCTGTGCCCGGGAGCTTTTCCTGAGCAGTCTCGCCTGGTTGGTTGTTTATGGCTCCGTGTGCTTGGGCTGTGACAAGCAGGAGGGTAGAGGGTCAGGTGTCCCGACGGGGACAGACTGTTCGACTGGCTCTTCGCTACTGTTGCAGCCGTGGGCATCTAGGAACCTGCTTAGTTGTCTTCCCCATGATTGGAGACGATGAAGAAATCCTGGGTTCAGTTGTAGAGAACTAAAAATGCTGCGTGGTGATAATCCAACGGCCCGGGCCGTTTCCTGTTCCCGCCACAGGCTTCTCGCACGCGTTGCCCTACTTCTACGTGGTCTACTTCACGGCACTGCTCGTGCACCGTGAGGCCCGCGACGAGCGCTGCTGCCGGAGCAAGTACGGCCTGGCCTGGGAGAAGTACTGCCAGCGCGTGCCCTACCGCCTCGTGCCCTACCTCTACTAGGCCAGCCGGCAGCGGAGCCCAGGGTGAACGCCCGCTCCTCGCACTGATGGGACCTGGAAGTTGTTTTCTTTCCCGAGACACGACTATGGAGCCATGCAGGAGGTCTTTTAATACAGCTGCGTTTCTTTTTATGATAACAATAACATAAGGGAAAACGCAAACAGAATGTTAGAATTAGCATTTTAATGGAGAATTTCCAATCCTTAAAAATCTGAAAACAAGAGTCTTATTATAAATGCACTTGCAAAGAATACTATTGATGTTAATGGGTTTTTGTTTACTTTGAATTTTTGACTTTTTACTTCGCCAGTTTTTGCCTAAATGAAAAACACTGTTACACTTAAACTACATTTACATTTATTGCATTGAGAATAGAATTTTCATTTATAATTCAAAACTCATCCTATGTTAAATCCTGTTATGTGAAAAGTGATCAAAGATAGTAGCAAGCACCGTTTAAAGGAAACCATTAGTAGCAGTTGGCTTAACCTCAACTTCTAGAACTGCCTTTGCAAATGTAAATATCGCTTATACTTTTATGTAATATATGGTGACTTGAGATTTTTCTGTACAGTAAGTATTTTAAATGTGAGATAATTGTCAGGACTAAATATCTTTAACAGAAACATTTTCAGTATTTTGAATTTTTATACAATAACACATGAATTAAAAAAATTGCAGCAATTAGAATTAATATTGTATAGAAGATGCTTTTAAAACATAGGAAGGGTATTTTTCTTAATCCAAAGTTTGTGAATTTGGCTTTGCTACCTCAATTGCAGGTGTTTTTTTTGCCTTTAAAAACTGCTGCAAATAGAAAAAATATGTATTTTTGAAGTAACATCACTATCTAAACATTTTTACACACATTGGTGTTTGGAAATTTGCCATTTTAGGCTAATATTTTTATATATTTTTGACTTTTTAAATCCAGCAGTGTTTTTGCTACTGTTTAGCTCAGGCAGTTCATACTGTATTTTGTACATTCTTTATATTTACTATCTACAAAGAAGGGATTAGTTTAAAATCATTTCTTTTAGTTTAACAGATGTGCATAAGGTAGCTTTAACCATTAAAATGCTAGTGAAGTTGATACAGTCTCATTATAATGGAACAGTAGCAAATTCACTCAACTTTTGTATTCAGAGTTCAGTTGTTCTATCTTAAACATAGGGAAGTGTAATACGTAAGAGTGTGTATGTTGGGTTTTAAATATTCCTTTTATATATGAGCCATTTGAATATGCAGTGTTCACTCTGCACTGCAGTTTGAAGCGTGCACCGTAGCTTGTGTGAATGTGATCATGGAGTGGGCTTGCTCTAGCAGTCTGCAGCTTACAGTCTTTAAATGTGGTTTTGGGGACGCTGTCAGTGATTGGTTAGTACCCATGTATGCAGTTGTTTTATTATGCTTTTCTCCTGGCATTGGAAAACGGTATCCCAGCATGCTCTGGACCAGAGCAGAGGACAAAGGACATTAACTGCTTTCTCTGGTAATGAAGAGCCTGTTAGCAACACCGTGCTGCCATTTCTGGATATCAGCTACAGTTGGTTTTTAATTTTGGTTTTAAGTTGGAAATAAAGTTGTGAATAAAAATGTTGCTTTAATCACCTTGGAGCCTTGTTTTCTGTTTTTGCCTGCAGCTGTGGGATTACTGGGTTAAAGATCGCCTTTAGGTTACCACTGCTATGGTCTGAATTATTACAGACTCTTAAGTGAAGGGTGGAAACAGTGCAATACAGTGTTTGGGCGGTGTGCCCTCGGCCGTCACACCAGAGTGTTACTTGCAAATCCTGAGCTTGGGCCCAACTTTCCCTGCTTCCTGGGTCATCACGGGATCTTTCTTCTGTGCAGCAGCCAGCTTCTTTTCATAACTAAATACCTAAGACAAGCTACATACAAAGGAAGGAGGTTTATTCTGGCTTGTGGCTTTGGGGATTCACAGTCCAGGACTGGCCAGGCCCCGCTGACTTGGCCATCTAGTGAGCTAGAGGATGGCCGTGGCAAAGCGTGTGGAGGCAGGATCGCGTGGAGGGCCGGGAAGCAGAGGGAGCATGCGTGCACGTCATCTGTCTGTGGTCTCAAAGCCTTCACCGTTCAATCACAGGGCCCCGCCCCAGCAACCTAATTCCCACAAGGCATCATAATTGGATTGATTCTACCTTTGATCTGGGGACCAAGATCGTCGTACGGAATCGCTTCTTGTAAGTCAAGAAGTTCCTAAAGCCATGCGCTGGTATCATGTTACCCTGTCTCTGTTCTGAGGAGAGGCACACTGGCTCCGTTCCAGGGTGTGCTGACCTGTTCCAGAGCCCACTGCAGAAACACCGCCTGTGCGCGGGTCTCATGCTGCGAATTCAAGCAGCTGGAAAGCCCCCCATCAGTGTGATGCTTTCCCAGACACATGAGTCAAAGACATTGTGCCTGGCCCGTCTGGCTGAGCCCACAAAGGCCTTTGTGAAGAGTGTTAACTACACGCGAATGTCTCGAAACATACAAATCTGGGGAGAGTAGAAGATTAAAATGGTTTGGTGTAGAATTTTATTCATTCTCACACAGCAATGCGACCTGCATTGTGATCCAGTGACTACAAGGTTTTTTCGTTGGTAAATGCACTGATGTTAAACAGTTAGTCGATGAACCAGTAGTCAAAATTCTTGACCTCTTACGTGTCTGGTAAACTGGGCATTCAAAACTGTAGAGTTCTGTATCTGTCTGGTTGGATGAATTTTGTGTTTCAGTAGAAATCTTTAAAAAAAAAAAATCCAATTGTCAAATTATGTGGTTCAAGCAAACCAGAAGCTCACATTTTCCATATGATAGGTTTGGGGGGTTTGTTATAAATTCCAAGGTTAGATGGTTTGTGTAACTGCATATGGAAATGATGCCTGTGGAATTTGATGCTTAATGCTATCAAGGGGGCTGACATTTGTGGCACAGCTGGTTCACCTGCCACCTGTGTTGCTAGCACCCCACACACAAGCTCTGGTTTGAGTCCTGGCTGCTCCACTTCTGATCCAGCTCCCTGCTGATGTGCCTAGGAAAGCAGTGGAGGACAGTCCAAATGCTTAGGCCCCTGTTCCCACGTGGGAGACCCAGATGGAGTTCTAAGCTTTTGGTTTTGGCCTAGCCCAGCCTAGGCCATTGAGGTCATCTTGGAGGTGAACCAATGGATGGAAGATCTCTCTTAACTGCCTTTCAAATAAAATAAATCAATCATTTTAAAAAAATTATAAAGATTATCATGGCTTTATGAATATATTCCTGGGAAATAATGGTGAATGTTAACACAGCATCTATTTTAGATTTAGCCAAATTTTGGGGTTTTCAAAAAATTTATTTCAACGGCAGAGTAACAGAGAGGGAGGGAGAGATCTTCCATCTCCTGGTTTACTTCTCAAATGGCCACAGCCAGGAGCCTGGAACCCCATCTGGGTTGCCCTTGTGGGTGGCAGGGGCTCAAGCACTTGGCCCATCTTTCACTGCCTTCCCAGGCACACGAGCAGGGAGCTGGATCTGAAGCAGAGTGGTTGGGACTTGAACCTCAGACTGGGGATGCCAGCATAGCAGACAGCGGGTTAACCCACTGTGCCACACTGTCAGCCCACTTGGGGCTGGTTAAAAATGTTGCTTGACATCTGAAATCTAACATCAGCCTTCCCTTGTGCAGTGGTAAGAAATGAGGAGCAGAAAGGGCGGTTTGTGTTCCCAAGGGAACGCTCAGAGGTCTAGGACTTCGTGACGCATAGTTGGGTGGTTACCTTTGTTGGCAAAAAGTGTATGTCGGGAAAATCACAGCACATCTCACGAGGCCGCGAGTCTTCCAGTATGTTTTCTTCGTGGTTCCACCTTGCTCCCTCGATGAATAAGCCGAAAACTTGAACTCCATCGCGAGGGGAGTCTGAGCCCTAAGGAAGACAAGCAGCGTCAGTGGCTGTCCAGGCACGAAGTCACTGGCCTACTCGGGCACCAGCCTGAGGCGCCATTCCTATGTGGGATCATCCCTGTCCAAGGTGTGTTGTCTCAAATTCCAGAGTGAATCCTCTGTTCTTTCCCTCCGCTGAGCACCGAGCAAAGTGTGTAGGTTCTGGTCTGTATAACGCAGACTAGCACGGGTGTGCGGACGAGTCACCTGGCCGGGAGGCACTCCACCCACATGCTGGCTCGGTTGATGCCAAGAGAGCAACGTGCCCCTGAGGACACCGAAGCTTCATGTTTGGAACCCTCCCGGCCAGATGCCAACCTCTGTGTCTCTTCCTTTGGCTAGTTCGGATTTTATATCATTTTGCTGCGTATAAAACCACTCATTAGGACAGAGCTTTCCTGAGGTTCTATGAGCTTCTGTAGCAAATCATTAAACCTGAGCACGGTTGTGGGAAAGCCCAGACCTGAAGCTGGTATCAGACCTTGGGCAGGCCTAACCTCAGGTTTGCCTGTAGAGGGCTGGCTACAAAGGCAGTCGCAGAGCCTTAGAAATCCTATGCACAGGAACAGTGACAAGACACTTAACAGGACAACCTGACACTAGTTTGCTAAGAGTGTGAAACACTCAAAGCTTTCTGAGTGACCTCAAGAGATGGAAAGACACGCTGGGTTCCCTATGGAAAAGCTCGGTGTCACAGGGGTAGCAGATCTCTCCCGAGTTTATACGGAAATGTACTGCAAGGTGCTCCAATACTAACACGTTTAAAAAAAGTGACACGTGATAAGGACTCGAGACGTCGGGGAGGAGGGCGGTGGGGCAGGGCTTCCCATGGGCCACACTGCAGGCCGCACTTGGTCCCCAGCGTCTGCTGCTGGCGGAGCCCTGCAAGAGGGAGGCACAGGGAGCAGCCACGAAGACCGGTTTGCTTGTTAGTTTGAAATACTGCCTCTTCGTTTACACCAGGGATAGCTTCAAGTCCACTTACTGGACTGACTGAAATCCTGACTCACGTGTGCTTTCTTTCCCCCAGAAAGAGAACGGGGGAGATGCACTTTGATGGCGCTGGACTGGAAGGGGGCAGCAAGTCCTCGTTCCTGGCCTCTCCAGTGCCTGGCCTGTGGCAAACGCTGAATAGAGGTTTGCCGAGGGAATGAATGGGTGAGTGAATGAATGAAGGATTTCCCCTTCCCATTCATTTAAGAATTCCCGTACCTTAAAGGCTCTCTTGACTTTGTCAAGTTCCGTTTGGACAATTCCAGAAAACTCTTCGTGATCAACGCCGGCAGTATCAGAAATCACGTGGTGGGTCAAAGTCAGGGCGTCCACGGAGATTCCTCGGGTCCTCCCGTAGTCTTGGAGCACAGCCATCAGGAAGGCTTTGGGGGAGAAACACACCCCGCCACTGCCTTGTGGGTGCCAGAGCGTCCCGCAGGCTCGGCGACACCCACCTCTGATGCAGAGCAGGGGCAAGCGAGCAGAAGGGGTCAGGAAAGAGATGAGCTGGACTTGACCGCACCCCCTCTGGCCGGGGCATGGGCCCCCTGGAGAGCATGGGTTATCTGGGGGTTCAGCACCCTTCTGTCTAGGGAGGGTGCAGAGCTGTAACTCCTGGGACCCCAACCACTTTTTTTTTTTTTTTAATGTTTATTCATTTGCAGGAGTTACAGAGGGGCTGGTGCTCTGATGCAGTAGTTAAGGCCCTGGCCTAAAGTGCCCTTATCCCATATGGGTGCCGGTTCTAGTCCTGGCTGCTCCTCTTCCCATCCAGCTCTCTGCTATGGCCTGGGATAGCGGTAGAGGATGGCCCAAGTCCTTGGGCCCCTGCACCCACGTGGGGGACCTGGAAGAAGCTCCTGGCTCCTGGCTTTGGATCAGCTCAGTTCCGGCTGTTGCGGTCATATGGGGAGTAAACCAGTGGATGGAAGACCTCTCTGTCTCTACCTCTCTCTGTAATTCTGTCTTTCAAAAAAAAAGAAAATAAGTTACAGAGAGGGACAGGGAGAGGGACAGAGATCTTTCATTCGCTTGTCTACTCCCCAAACGGCTGCAAATGGCCAGGGCTCCACCAGGTCAAAGCCAGCGTTTCCTCTGGGTCTCCTGTGGGAGTGCCAGGGACCCAAGCACCTGGTCCTTCAGCTCTTCCCAGGTGCACTAGCAGGGAGCTGGATGGGACGTGGAGCAGCCGGGACTCAAACCAGCGCCCACGTGGGATGCTGCACTGCAGCCGGCAGCTTAATCGGCTGCAGCTTGACCCACCCCCTTCTGAGCTCCTCCTGGCCCACCCACCATTGTCCCACACCCTCTTGGCAACAAAGATGGGTCCCTGGAGTGAGCGCCAGACCAAGGGTGTCGGAGTCCTCCTCAGACACGAGGCCACGCTGGGGACAGGGGAGGCTGTTCCCCCTCTGGGGCTGCTACCCTGCTTGCGGCCGCGTCCCCTGGCTTGCACAGGGAGAGGCTGTAGCAGATGGGGACCTTCCCCCTCGGTGTGCCCCCTGCTTGAGGAAACAATGTGGCGCTCATGAGCTTTCCGAGCCAGTGACCCTGCACCTCACCCCACGCTTCGGACTGTGCGGTCTGGTCTGTTCTGCTTCCTAAACACCCTTCTGTCCCCCTGCCACTGCCCCACTCGGGGCCACTAGCAGCTCTTGCTGGAGGACAAAGCAGACTCCCTAAGTCCTGGGACCCAGTCTTGTGCTCCTCCGACCCCTCCCCGCTTCTGTACTGCAGTATCGGATCCCGGCATCGCATTTCCGGAACACTCAGCGGTTCCTGCTGCCCTGGGATGAGGCCGACTCCCTCGCGGTGTCTTGCACAGCCCCTGGGGACTGGCGTGTGTCCCGTTCCAGCGGCCTCCTATACCGTTCTCCCTCCGCAGGCTTCTGCTCTGGCCGCAGGGAACGCCTGGCATCTCTAACTCGCACTGCCTTTTTCCAGTGCACCCTGGCTGGGATTCTCTCTAACAAGAATATTGGTCCCAGTTTAGTGCAGAGGTTAAATAGTTGCTAATTTTTTTAAAGATGTATTTTTTTTTTTATTTGAAAGTCAGAGTTCCAGAAGAGGGGGAGAAACAGAAAAAGGTCTTCCATCTGCTGGTTCACTCCCCAGAAGGCCACAACAGCTGGAGCTGTGCCAGGCAGAAGCCAGGAGCTTCTTTCAGATCTCCCATGTGGGTGCAGGGGACCAATCACCGGGCCCCTTCTGCTGCTTTCCCAGACACTTTAGCAGGGGTCTGGGGTGGGAGCGGAGCAGTGGGGCTTGAACCAGTGCCCATTTGGGATGCCGGTGTTGCAGGTGGTGGCTTTACTTGCTATGCTACAATGCCAGCCTCCCCGTTTCCCAATTAAAAAAAAATTATTTAAAAGGCAGAGTGACTGGGGGTGGGGTTGAGAAAGAGAAAGGAAAAACGAACTTTTCCACCTGCTGGTTCACTTGCCAAATGGCAGCAAAAGCCAGGGTTGGGCCAGGCTGAAGCCAGAAGCCTGGAGCTTCATTTGGGTCTCCCACATGGGTGCGGGGTCCCAAACACTTGGGCCACCTTCCACTGCTTTTCCCAGGCCATTAGCAGGAAGCTAGATCAGAAGTGGAGCAGCCAAGACACAAACCAGCATCGAGATGAGGTGCCGGCGCTGCAGGTGGCGGCTCTACCCACTACGCTACAGCACAGGGCCCCCTGACATTTTTCTTAACCCTTTTGTGCTACAGTTTTCATATCTGCAAGTAAGGATGGTTAGAGTAACGAGCTCAAAAGATTGCCTTGAGAGTTGAATGGCTCAGCTGCCACATCCCCTCAGAAGGACGCCTGGCATGGGACGCTACCACCTAGCCAGTACTCGGGCTCCTTGATTCCCACCCGGCTCCCCCGTCACCAGCAGCAAGCCGGTTCATCTTGGAAGTTATCTCTGGATCCCTCTGAAGTCTGTCTCTCTAGGGGTACTTTCCTCTAGCTCTTGGCAAAGGTCTCCTTGCTTTATCCTCCGATTCATTCACATAGGAATTCAGAAAGCCATTCATTCATTCTTCAAATCCCTTTGTTTTGGTGCTGGGGGCTAGATTAGGCCAGAGGCACAAGGCAAGCAAAGCAGACCAGGTGCCTGTCCTCGCGGCGCCTGAAGCCCAGTGCTGCTCCCTCCCAGGCCCCTTCTCGCCTGCTGCCCACACTGTGTCGGAACACCTGCCTAATTCCTGTATCTGCTGGACAGCTGTGCTGAGCAGCTGGACCCAGGTCCCACCAAACACGCCGTCATCAATTCTCGTTCAAGTGATATGTGGATGAATAGCCAAGGCATAGACTCAACCCCATGAAAGGTGGCCAATTCCACTCCCTTGCACGGGCCTTTTGGGAGGATCTAGTGTTGACCTTTGACATGAGAGAATGGAGAAGGTGACCTGCTGCGGCACTTGCGGGGTCTGCTGAGGGTGGCCTATTTTGGGGCGAGGACAAGAGGCAAGTGGAGAAGGAGGAGGGTCTGCCTTAGTGCAGGCAAGAGGCCCTGGCACCTGTGCGGGCTCAGGTGCTGCCACCGTGGGGAGGGGAGGGACAGCGTGCAGAGCCACTGAGTGCAACCCTGCTGGGGTCTCCTGCTTCCAACGCTCACCGTGTGGAGAGAAGAACGCAGGAAGCCAGTATCTCGCAGGGAATCCTTCAAAGGAAACATTTTCTGGGTCAGCAACGGGCTTGGGGGTTTGGCTAGATGACGGAACAGACGAGACCAGTCTCAGACACCTGTTGGAAGGCGGATCCCACACGGGGTGGTTAAGGGCATCCTAATGCACACCCCCAAACGATCCAGCAATTTCTTTCTGTCCCTCCCAGCGCCCCCTTTCCCTCTTTACCCCAACTGCCCCCCAACTCAGGACTTTTGCATTTGTGGGGAAACCAGCTATGGCTGGACGCTTGTGAGGGAAAAGGGAGACCTCGAGGGTGACTGTCACAGGAGCCCCAGCTGGGCCTTGGGGGAACCTTGTCGACTGTTTCTGAGTGACAGGCACCTCCAGGGGCCACCTGGAAACGCAGGTCAGATGTCTACACCCGCTCGAAGCCTCACTGTCAGTTCAGGCCCACGAGGCAGCCTGGCACAGACTCTGGGTGCAGACTGCTGGGTTGGAAGCCCAGCACTGGCACTTGCTGCCTGTGAAACCGCGGGTACGTTATTTCCAGGCCTGAGCCTCGCTTCCCTCATCTCTAGAACAGGGCAGGTAATGGTGACGCTTCCCATCCAAGCTGTCAGGGGACTGAAGAGCTGGCGTGAGCCACTTGGTAAATGTCAGCCAGGCTCCTGCCTTTCACGCTGTTTTTAAAAGCTGCATGGAAATGACTATTATTTCCTTTCCTGTCTCCCTGCCGGTTTCTGGGCACACACTGGGACAGCAGCAAGAGAAACGCACTGGGCTCTTGTCTTATCTCGTCTCAGAGTGCACTGACCTCGGACGAGACTCTCAACTTCTTAAGTCTGAGTTTCATCATCCTAAGCACAACCAAGAGTCCCTCCCTTGCTTAGTTCACATGCTGCTACGAGAACCCAGACAGCCCAGGCCTGTGAGGCTGTGTTGCAGCCCATTAGGCTGTACAAAACAACAAGGAAGCGGGGGAAAGCGGCTTCCATCCGTACCGGCTGTGTACTGCGGTGAAAGCCATTTTGGCCCAGGTGTTGAGGAAATTCAGCCGCTGGAGGAGATTGCTCACCCAGGAGCTCAGGGGTCTGCAGGACTCGTAGGCGTGTTTCTGTCGGGATTGAGACAGGCAGGTCAGGTTTTTTATAATTTGTCATTGGGATCATCAGGAACACTCCTGCAAACTTTGGGAATGGACTCACGTGCAGGGAGGAGTGGACTGGCAACAGGATGTCACTGCCCAACAGAGCACAGACGAGGAATCCGGGAACCACCCAAGGGCAAACAGCAGCATCTTACCAGTGCTCTGGGGGAGGCCCCGGGAGCCTCCCATCCTGGCTGGAGGCTTTGCTCACACCTTCCCATTCCCTCCACCCCTGTTCTGCCTCTGGGGCGGCACCCTCATGTGCCATCAGTGTGAGCCATTTCTGCCTCCTGGCTTTGCCCTACATCCTCATCCCCCTGTCTCCCCTGCCCCCCGTCCCCTCCAGTTCTGAGCCAATCCTTGCAGTCTGTCTTCTGTCTTCTGTGCCCCTTGTTTATCAGCATGCTCTTCTGAGGACACAAGCCACCCAACTCTCCGTCCTGCTCGTGCGCTGCAAAGCGGGCCCAGGGAGGGGAGGCCTCCTCCTTCGTTTCACAGTCAGCTCTAAGTAATCATCGAGCTCCTTGCTCTTTCTGTGGATTCGCCAGCTTGGGACATTTCATGTAAACGGAATCGCACACCACGTGGCCTTTCACTTGGCAGAGGACAGCTGTCTTCAGGGCTCATCCAGGCTGCAGCATCTGTGAGTACTCTGCTCACGTTGCCGGCTGGGTAGCACTTCACTGTAGGTGTCTTCATAGAATACACAGAGGAACAGAGATTTGGATACTGGTCCTGGAGACAGGTGTCCCGGAGCACGGCCCCGGCAGCTGGGGAGTATCCTCATGCTACGTTGTCGCTTGGAGGAAAGGCAGGCTGAGCCTGAGCAGTCAACGAGGGGCCCAAGCCCCACAGCAACAGCCGCACTCCTGCAATGGCCTAATCCACTCGCGAGCGCGGAGCCTCCTGACCCGTCAGCCCTTGGAGGCCCCACCTCTCCACCTCTCCACACTGTCAAGGGCGTGAGCTGGAGAGGGGCCGCTCACACCACAGCAGTAGAAGGTTGCACCTCTGTCAGTCGATGTCCGCTGCATTGTTTCCTCCCTTAGCTGCCGTGAGTGACGCTGCCAGGAACACGGGTATGCAAGTTGTGACGAGGACATACGCTGTGACTCCTCCTGGCTGAAATGGTCAGCTGAAGTTTACTGTGACTCCCGTTTCTGCAGGTTCAGAGACCAAACGGCATGGCTTGGGCTCCAGCGGTGGCAAGGGGCCCAGGGTGGGTGGTGGAGCAGACAGGAAGGGTCCCAGGGTGAGCCAGGAAGAGGGTGCCTGGGGTCAGGCACAGGCTTCTTAAACAACCCTCTTTTGAGAACTTATGAGGTCATCCCCCCCCCCCCCCCGTGTCCTAACGACCTTCCACTAGGTCTGATGGCCTTACTTCCATGGTGGGATTAGGTTTCCACTCTGAATATCACTAACGTATGACTTTGACGCTTAAAAATCTGCAGGAGTTAGGGGGTCAAATCATATTCAAACCACAGCAAAGGCAGGCTAACTCTACGTTTAAATTTTGAGAAAATGTAAGACCATATCCCAAAGTAGTCGCACTATTTTACACTCCCACGAGTGGGATTTGAAGTTTTCAGTTTCTCTACATCCTGGTCAGTTCTTGGTATTATCTATCTTTTGGATTCTATCTGTCTTAATAGGTGTGAAGCTTCAGTTCTCTGTATTCTTCATTTGTGTTTCCTGATAACATATGTTGTTGACCATCTTTTAGAGTATCCTACATAGGTTCCCAATCTGGTGTATGATCCAGTATTTTGGGAGGGCCCGTGTTAGCTACCAGAGAGAACTTCACTCTGTTGCCAGATCTTCCATGGAGAGTTTTTTTTCTTGGTCTAATAAACTTTGTGTTTTTAACTTGGTTTTCTTCTTTAAGGCCAAGTTCCAGAAATCTCTTCATCTCTTTGTTTTGTTTTTATTTTTAAATTTAAAGATATCATGATAATATGGAAGAACAGAAACCACGTATGGAAATTACTCACAATTTTGTCACACAGAGGAAACCCATTATTTTGGTAGGTTTTCCTTTAGTTCTTCCTTTCTGTACACTCATGCATGTGCACACACACATACACATTTATAGTTCATTCTCCTTCTTTTTAGTAATCACATTCTATAAGGTTGCTATGAATGCAAAATGAGTGAATACTGAACCACTGTTCCCAGCCACAGTATTTTAATCAACCAATCAACACATGACCTTGTTTTAGGCGCGTTGTGTTAGACACTTTAACATAGATTGCAGACTCCTCACTGTTCAACTCACACCTGAAAAAAGCGTAATTAACATTTTTATCTTCTCTGTGAGGCACATCACAGCCTCTTGTGCTTGGGAATAGCGGACAGCCTTTCAGTCCCATGTTCGGAGGCCTTCTTCTGTAGTGAAATTGCCAACAAAAAGTACAAAAGCAAAAACAGTGGCACTAAATAGATCATGAAAAGCAACACTTGTTAATAGTGTGAGGGCAAAAACATGACAGCAGACTTTGAAAACTAATAGTGATTTTGGCGTGGAGAAAAAACTTAGTGAGTTGGCAACTTCACGCATATGGACTCTGGAGTCACGAGGTTGGGCTCTGCCTGTGCACACAGTTTCATCAGTCTATGAACTTGGCCCTGGGATGCTTGCAGCTGTAGCTCATTCACTGTCACCACTGCATGGTAGGCTGTGTGAACATGTCGTGCATTTACCCACTCTACTGTGGATGGCACATCTGAGTTGTTTCCAGAACTTTCACCGTTATGATGTTCTGAATATTTTTATACATGTGTCCTGATGTTCCAGTGCAAGGATTTATAATGCTTTAATATGGCTGACACCACATTGTACATGACATTTCAATCTTTTAAAGATTCTTAATTCAGGTACCAATGTGAGAAGCATCCTGTACTGTTGCAGAAGTTAAAACAATCTGTTTGAATTGTTTCAGTGTGGGGCTGGCTCTGTGGCGTAGTGGGTTAAGCCACAGCCTACAATGCTGGCATTCCATATGGGCACCAGTTCGAGATCCGGCTGCTCCACTTCTGATCCAGCTCTCTGCTATGGGCTGGGAAAGAAGCAGAAGATGGCCCAAGTCCTTGGGCCTCTGCATCTGTGTGGGAGACCTGGAAGAAACTCCTGCCTTCGGATCGGCACAGCTCCGGCCGTTGCGGCCATCTGGGAAGTGAACCAGCAGATGGAAGACCTATCTCTCTCTGCCTCTCCTTCTCTCTCTGTGTAACTCTTTCAAATAAATAAATAAATCTTTGGCCAGCACTGCAGCTCAATAGGCTAATCCTCCACCTAGTGGCGCCGGCACACCGGGTTCTAGTCCCGGTCAGGGCGCCGGATTCTGTCCCAGTTGCCCCTCTTCCAGGCCAGCTCTCTGCTGTGGCCAGGGAGTGCAGTGGAGGATGGCCCAAGTGCTTGGACCCTGCACCCCATGGGAGACCAGGAGAAGCACCTGGCTCCTGCCTTTGGATCAGCGTGGTGCACCGGCTGCGGCGGCCATTGGAGGGTGAACCAATGGCAAAGGAAGACCTTTCTCTCTGTCTCTCTCTCTCACTGTCCACTCTGCCTGTAAAAATAAAATAAAATAAAATAAAAATAAATCTTTAAAAAAATTGTTTCAATGGCTATGCTAATGATTAAAGCATGACTATTTAATTTGTCATCTAAGGGTCATTATTAATTTTATCCTCAACAATACAAGGTGTTCAAAAAGTTCATGGAAAATGTGTATTATGAAAGAGCTATGCATAGATTTCAAACAATTTTGGCACTAAATCATTTTTTAATTCCATTTTCCACAAACTTTTTGAAGAACCTTCATATAAGACTTAAAAATTCTATATACTTTCCAACCTTGGCTTATATGTGTTACTTGTTGACCTTTTATTTTAGATCATCTTGTTTCAAATTTTTTTTTAAAGATTTATTTACTTACTTGAAAGTCAGGGTTACACAGAGAGAGGGAAAGGCAGAGAGAGAGAGAGAGAGAGAGAGAGAGAGGTCTTCCATCTGCTGGTTCACTCCCCAATTGGCTGCAATGGCCGAAGCTGCGCCGATCCGAAGCCAGGAGCTCCTTCTGGGTCTCCCACACGGGTGCAGGGGTCCAAGGACTTGGACCATCTTGTGCTGCTTTCCCAGGCCATAGCAGAGAGCTGGATCGGAAGAGGAGCAGCCGAGACTAGAACCAGTCCGGCGCCCATATCGGATGCTGGCACTGCAGACGGCGGCTTAGCTCACTGCACCACACCAGCAGCCCCTAGACATGCATATTTCTGTCAAAATGTATTTACGTGTATCACTTTTACCCTTTTCAGTTCTTGCACTGCAGGATTTCTGTTTGCGTTGACTAAAAATGATGAGTTTGTCTTTTCTACCCCTCTTTTTGGTCTGTTTTTTGAAAAAAGAATTGCATGTATTGTTTCAGTTTAACAGTGAAAAGTCTTTCAATATATAGAAAATACTATTCTCATTTCTTTGAAAGTGTTTTTTTTTTTTTTTTTTTTCCTAGCTGCATGTAAGACTTTTGTCTTTGGTTTACTGTAGTTTCACTACGATGTATTTCTGTGAGATGTGTTTTCTTTTTTTTTTTTTTTTTTTATTTTTTTTATTTTTGACAGGCAGAGTGGACAGTGAGAGAGAGAGACAGAGAGAAAGGTCTTCCTTTTGCCGTTGGTTCACCCTCCAATGGCCGCCGCTGCAGCCGGCGCACCGCGCTGATCCTGGCAGGAGCCAGGAGCCAGGTGCTTTTCCTGGTCTCCCATGGGGTGCAGGGCCCAAGCACCTGGGCCATCCTCCACTGCACTCCCTGGCCATAGCAGAGAGCTGGCCTGGAAGAGGGGCGACCGGGACAGAATCCGGCGCCCCAACCGGGACTAGAACCCGGTGTGCCGGCGCCGCAAGGTGGAGGATTAGCCTATTGAGCCACGGCGCCGGCCCGTGTTTTCTTTCTTTTCAACATTTATCCTGCCTGGGATTCACTGGACATCTTACATCTGTCAGTTCCAGAAAATTCTCAGCTCTGTCCCTTTAATTATTGTCTCTGGTGCGGCTCTCTCTTCTCGGCCTCCAAACTTCAATTAAACTTAGTTTTGGACCTCTGTGAATCTTAACAGCTCCTTCCTGTTTCCCATTCCTTTGTCTGTTTGGCTTGCATTCTGGGTAAATTCTCCTCTATTTTCTGGTGTACTTCTCTTTCTAGCTATGTCCATGCAGGCTTCTGTACAACCTGTCCACTAACTTTTATGTTTTATTCTTTACGTTCCTGGAGGCTCTGCTGGATTCTTATTCAAATCTGCTATGTCATTTGGAATAGTTTCCTGTTCCCCAAAGCATGTAACTCACTCAGCTCCTCATTCTTGTCAACATCCTATCCTGCTGTGACCTAAGACTGACCCGTTCAAACAGCTGAAGTCTTTGGGTCACCTGGCATTAGCTTGATTTCTGCTGTGATTCTCACTCAGGGTTCCTCGTTTTCACGTAGGCTTGTCTATTTTTGAATGATTATTCATTCTCCTTGCAAAATGTTTACAGAATCCCTGAGGCCTAGACTGCGTGTTTCCTCTCCCGGGGGAGCTTTGCGAGCATTTTTGCAGACGTGCTGCACACCCGCTGCGGGCTGTGAGTCCACTAAGGGGGCAACTGCAGTTCATCGTTGCTCAGCACTGGCTGTTCTTTTTCCCTTTTCCCCATTCGTCACTCATTTGTACACATGGAGCCCTGGAGGCTGAGGGAGGGGACTTGTTTCCAGGTCCACATTAAGGGGAATGTGGAAACTTGTGGAGCAGGTGTGCAGTTAACCAGACTCCTTACCTTGGGTGGGGTCTAGGATTGGCTTTGTTCCTCCTCCCCCCCCCACCCCCCCGAATAAATCCAAAACTTTGCTATTGTTTTTTCAGGATTAGCAAATACCTTCAGGGCAAACCATTTTATATACTCTATCAAGAATTTAAAAGGGGCGGGCCTTGTGGTATAGTAGGTTAAGTCTCCACCTGTAGCACCGGCATCCTGTATGGGTGGGTTCAAGTCCCGGCTGTTCCTCTTTCTATCCAGCTCCCTGCTATGGCCTGGGAAAGCAGTAGAAGATGGCCCAACTGTGTGGGCCCCTACACCCACGTGGGAGACCCAGAAGAAATCTCCTGGCTCCTGCCTTCAGATCAGCCTAGCTCTGGCTGTTGTGGCCATTTGGAGAGTGAACCAGCAGATGGCAGACCTTTCTCTCTGTCTCTCCCTCTCTCTGTAACTCTACCTCTCAAAAAAACAAATAAATAAATCTGTTAAAATTTTTGAGAGACAGAGAGCAAGCTAACTCTATCTGCTGGTCCACTCCCCAGATACCCACAATGACCATGGCTGGCCCGAGTGGAAGCTGGGAGCTGGGAACGCAGCCTAGATCTTTCTTGTGGGCAGCGGAGATCTAACCACTTGAGCTCTCTCCTGCTGCCTCTCAGTGCATGCATCAGCAGGAAACAGTGATCAAGAGGGAGCCAGGACAAGCAGCCAGGCGGTGTGATACAGGATTGGGTGTCCCAAGTGGCATTTTAACCGTTAGACCAAATGCCCATCCCTACCGACCTTTTAAAACTCCCGTGTTAAGTTTTGACCTGTTCATCTTGCTTAGCAGCTCTTACCAGCTCTTTGATAAATTTAATAATATTTAAAGTGTTCATCAAGCATTTTAGTTGCTTTCATTGAGAGACTCATCCAAATAATCCAGACTGCGATTGCTGAGAGAAGTAATTTAAGTGCAAACACTTAAATTCCTATAGTAATTAAAAAATGAGTATGATAAAAAATGAGAATAGCACAATGAGATACCACAAAATATAAAATGTAGAAGTAAAATCTCTTTCCGTACAAGACCCTGAAGTTTCCTTGGCACAAGGTAGTCAGTGTTAACAACTGTTTGTGCTTCTTCTTCCAGAACTTTCATTTGGGTTTCTTGAATCTCAAACACCTGTGCTTCACAAGCATGTACGTTTTACATAAATATATCTGTTTTTATAATCCTTAAAAATAACATTTTCCTGAAACTTTAAAAATATTTAGACAATACAACCTGGCAATTGTTCCCTATCAGCACATACTTCATTATTTGGATGCACTATGGTTTATGTAACTATTAATACATGGTTACATAATAATTAATAGTAATAATTAATAGTCCTATTAATACATATTCAAGTTGTTTTCAACTTATGCTATTATAGACACTCCTATGACAAACATATCCAAGACAAATTTAGGTGGAATCATCAAGTTCCCTTCTAAGAAGTTTTAAAATACAGATTCACACCAGAAGTGCGCAGCGGTACTTATGGTCACGTAGCCTCCTCACAGGAACGCGCCACAGGGGACCACTTCCTGCGCCTGGGCATTCATTCAAGGCAGCAAGCGCCAGGACACGATGGCTGCTCACCCGCCACAGTGGAGGCACCTCGCATTAACAAAGGAGTCACAGATTCCTTGCAGTTCTTCTTACCTGCCACAGTGGAGGCACCCTCGCATTAAGAAAGGAGTCATAGATTTCCTCCAGTTCTTGGGTCATGACGATCTTTCCTTTCATAGCAAGCTGAAGATCTCTTAAAGATTTATGTATGACAAACAACAGCTTATCAAATCGTCCAATTTCTTGCCTCAAAAAGGTCAGCAAAACACAATGGATAAGGAAATCGTGGCCTGAATTTAAAAAGGAGATAAAGTTTTGATATCCTGCACGTGAAAAAGGCTTTCCAGGGAGGACATAAGCTTAGAAAGTTAAAGGAGTTTCATTACCTCTCAACCGGGGTTGATAAACACTTTCTGTGGATGGCCAGACGGCAGGTATTTCAGGGTTGTGGACTGTGCTGTTATGGCTACTAAACTCTCCCCTCGTGGTATACATGCAGCCCGAGATAACAGGTAAACCCGTAAGCATGGGCTTTGTCTCAATAAAGCTTTATTTGTGGGCACTGACATGTGAATTCCATGTATTTATGTAGCATAAAGTATTATTCTCTTTTATATGTTTTCAACCATTAAGCAAAAACAAAACATATCCTGCACCCTAATTTGCTGGTCCTTGACTGAGACTCACCAACAGGAAAGCTGCAGTCTGCATTGTTTAATGACGGGGTGCACGCGGCCAAGTGCGCCGTTAGGTGAGTTCATCGGGCCAGCATCACAGGGTGTATCACTTACGGCACTGTGACGTCTCCAGGTGACACAACCTTATGGAACCACCACTGTTGACTATAACGTCATCGTGCGACCCACGATGGTATTTTGACAGACCGCTGCTCAACAGGTGGCTATAAAAGGAGCCTCACTGAAGAGTTAGAATGTGGATGTCAACATTTAACTGGGAAAATCACCCCAGGTTGACAGTGTAGCCCCTCACAGACAAGCCTGGAGCCAGCTGTGGGCTTGCCCTTCGCCCTGGGTTCCCCGGAGTCTGAAGGTCCCCCACCAGGGAACCCGCTACACTTTACTGCACACAACGCTGTGCCAGGAGGCACAGAGAACGGGGACCCCGCTGCCGCTCGATGGTTTGCTCCACCTTAACCCACAGGACCACGTTCTTCTCTGCTCCTCACCTCCCGGCGGGGAGACAGGTGGCCGGGGGATTTCCCTTGGCTCGTCTTTTTACCTGCGTGGCACTTTCTGCCCTGACCCTGCCTTTGCAGCGAGGGGAAGCCACTCCGTCTCCGTGCTTACCACTCTCGATTTTGCACAGAGACTCCCAGACGGGGCCTGCCATGACGCTCCTCAGCGTGCTCTGAGTGCCGGTGCATTCTTCCCTCTCCACTGTCAGCGGCAGCCGCCGTAGCATGTCACTCAACATCTCTGCCACCAGTTCCTCATTACTCAGCGGGGGGCTGCCAAAGGAATTCAGAGGAGGCTGTGACACAACCATGTCTAATCTCGGAGGGCCTCCTGTCTGAGTCCCAGCTCAGGGCAAACAGAACTTCTGAGAACCGCGAAATCCACTAGGGGAGATGTGACGGACATGGCAGGGTCCATTCCTGCTTACGGACGGGAAAACTGTCCCGTGCCCTTAGGCAATTGTCAGGAACTATGTTCTTTTAAAGTTTTCCTAGGAGGTCTTTGTAAAATATTCATCACGTGACCCCATATGCATGAAGGACGTCCCGAGGCTGAGTGAAAGGGAGGAGGCGGCCAGACAGAGCGTGACTAGTGCGCAGCCTCACAGCCGTCTGACTGCCGGTCACACTCCTCTGCTCACACATGCAGTGCTGGTCACAGGAAGCCCGTGTCACACTCGGTGGTGGGGACCGGAAGACCATCTGTGACACAGGCCTGGGTGAGGCTGTGACATGAGGCACTGGTACTGGAGGGCTCTCCAGAATCCTTTTTTTTTTTTTTTTTTTGACAGGCAGAGTTAGAAGTGAGAGAGAGAAACAGAAAGGTCTTCCTTCCGTTGGTTCACCCCCAAGGTGGCTGCTACGGCTGGCGCACTGCACCGATCTGAAGCCAGGAACCAGGCACCTCCTCCTGGTCTCCCATGCGGGTGCAGGGCCCAAGGACCTGGGCCATCCTCCACTGTACTCCCAGGCCACAGCAGAGAGCTGGACTGGAAGAGGAGCAACCGGGACAGAATCCGGCGCCCCAACTGGGACTAGAACCCGGGGTACCAGCGCTGCAGGTGGAGGATTAGCCAAGTGAGCTGCGGCGCCGGCCTCCAGAATCCTTCTAAAGACCAGGAAACCAGGGCCAAGGTGGGGACGGGACCTCCTTGGACAGTGGATGAGGGAATGGGACACGTCTCTTTTGAATTTGTTCTCTCTGGGGACTCCATTTACTGCACTGCCCGATTTTCCTACAGACAATCCAGGCAGACGAAGGGCATCCTGCAAGGGGGGAGATAACCTTTGGGCCTCTGCTATGTACTTAGCCCAGCAGTGCTGCCTCCCAGCCAGTTTACAAACAGCCTGGGGTGATTTGTTTCCTTCCTTTTCATATTTTTTTTCATAGCTCTACATTTGGGTTTCACAGTGGAATTCAAATAATGAAGAATTAGGTAGAATAGGACAGATCCTTCTAGTCAAGACCCACAGACAAGATTCTAATGCGTTCTGATGAAAGCATGGCTGGGATGACTGTAGCCTCCCCAAATGCCCAGTCATTAAAAAGGGTATCTTGCATGTTAACCAAAAGCGCTCTGTTATAATCATCTCATCTCTTACTGGTGTACTGGGTATAAAACTAATCTTTAGATGGGTAAAGTCTACAGAAAATTCAACCTGATAACATGGAACATCTTGGGGTTTCCACCTGGGTACTCTTGTTTCTCAGCTTTCCTTCTGTAGCAGCGTGTTTGTCTGTGTATATGTGTATGCATATGTATATATACATGTATATATTCTTCAGTATATTCATTCAGTCAGTGAAATCAGAGTTCAGTGTTCTCAGATTTGTGTCAGTAGAAGGATTTTTTAAGATACAATCCAATGCCAGCCAAAGCCATGATCCACAGTCAGACGAGATTGGGTGCGTTCAGGGTAGTATGACTATGACTGTGGAATATGATCTACAGTCAGAATTCAATCACGCGTCACTGTGATATGAGTCAGGTGGTCCAATGAAACAGGAAGACTATAGCAAAGTGCAGAATTCCAATTGCTTCAGAGATTTCAGAAGTACATAGAAAGAAATTCACAAGATCCAGAGAAATGTAAAACCCAATCTATGAGCACAGAGAAGTGTTACACAATGCATAATTGGAACACAGGGATGGAACTATTATTGTCTTTTTTTTTTTTTTTTTTTGACAGGCAGAGTGGACAGTGAGAGAGAGAGACAGAGAGAAAGGTCTTCCTTTGCTGTTGGTTCACCTTCTAATGGCCATCACGGCTGGCGCATTGCGCTGATCCGAAGGCAGGAGCCAGGTGCTTCTCCTGGTCTCCCATGGGGTGCAGGCTTGGGCCATCCTCACTGCACTCCCGGGCCATAGCAGAGAGCTGGCCTGGAAGAGGGGCAACCATGACAGAATCCGGTGCCCCGACCGTGACTAGAACCTGGTGTGCCGGTGCCGCAGGCAGAGGATTAGCCTACTGAGCCATGGCACTGGCCTATTTGTTTGCTTTTTCTAATCTGAAGACAAAGTAAAAAATCATTTGAAATGATTCAGCTGGTTGTTAGTGAGGCTCTTTTAATTCTGGGAAAACTTAGAATTAGGTATAAATAGGTGTGGCAGATTAAAATTGCAGTAGAAATATATATATGTATATTTTGCTGAGACAGCGTTTGAATATTTGTAATGTTTAAGAGAATCATACCTGTTTCCTCTTACAAGTCAGTCTTTGACTACAATTTAAGAAAGACCATTGAGAAATTGATTGAAATTTATGATTTAGGTGGAAATCTAGCTAAACTGACATAAAATATTAGATAATTTAATATTCATCATGTTAATTATTAGATTTATAAAAAATATTGACAGATAACTGCATACATTAACTTTATAACAAATATTAATATATTTGGAAATGTTTGATTAGGTTTGTAAGTGGGACCAGACACTACTAAAAGTCCTTTTCAAAGTTAAGCTGAGGGGCCAGCACTGTGGCATAGAGGGTAAAGCTGCCGCCTGCAGTGCCGGCATCCCATATGGGCACCAGCTGCTCCACTTCCAATCCAGCTCTCTGCTGTGGTCTGGGAAAGTAGTAGAAGATGGCCCAAGTCCTTGGGGCCCTGCAATGTGGGAGATCTGGAAGAAGTTCCTGGCTTCTGGCTTTGGATCAGCGCAGCTCCTGTTTTTGTGGCCATTTGGGGAGTGAACCAGTGTATGGAAGACCTCTCTCTCTGTCTCTCCTTCTCTCTCTGTGTAACTTTGACTTTCAAATAAATAAATAAATCTTAAAAAAAAAATAGTTAAGCTGAGCCTTTGCCCCTAATGCCTTTGATCTCTTCCTTAGCTGGCAGTGACTCTGAACGACCCTGCAGATTGAGTCACAAGGACTGGAACTGCCCCACAGTTACCAGCAAGGCCAGTCTCTATTCTGAGAGCTTTGCAGGAGCTCACAGGCCATGATCAGAGGAAGTACCATCCAGTCTATCCTGAGACCCAGCAGACCGCAACCCACCTTTGCCATTCCCAAAGAAACATACTAGCCCCTACCATTGACCAATCCAAGGCAGGCCACATGCCCTGTGGACCAGCCAGAGGCCCATGGCATGCCCTGCTCATGCCAGCTTGGAGCTCTGAGCTGGACTGCCTTTAATGCCTTGGGGAGCCTGGGGAGCGAGCCCAGCTCCTTGCCTCCTTGCTCTGCACTTTCTCCCACCTCCCCAGTACCAGCGATTGGTCTGCTGCAAGTCAGGCAAGCAGATCCAGTTCGGGGGTTCTAAAGTAATCCCTCCAATCAGTTTTGGGAGTGGTCTTTATAAAAAAGTGATTGTTAAAATTTGTTAGACTTACGAATTTAAAAATTAGATTTCTACACTGAATGTAGACGCATAAGGAACTCACTGGACTCTCAGAACAATCCCATGTGGTCGATGCCAACATTGTCTCTGATTTAGAGATGAGGAACCTGGGCCAGAAGGAGTTAACTGACTTCCCAGAGTTCACCAAGAGGGGTAGAGTTGGGATTTGAACCAGGCAGAGTGAGGAAGACAGAGAGGGAGGAAGGCTGTATGTGAGTGTTACATACCACTGAGCAGATATAAACAGCTGGGCATACTTTGTGGGGCAGGGTGGGGTGGGGCAGCCACGTGGCAGTCAAACCATTGAGAGCTGAGGCCGTGCAGTGCTGGCACCGATGGAAACACGAGCCCTCGAAGCATGTGGCTGCTCCTCCTGACTACACTGTCCTTCGATTTATGGTGGTAACCTTCCCGTCCATCAGAAGTAGACGGGCACCTTCCACATTTAAACAAACCCACTCAAAAACACCTCTCACCAAGTACAGCTCACCCACCCAATAGAGATAACTACTCCACGCTTGCTAACTGTGTGTACGTGGACTTGTTTTTGCTTCATTTGGAGAACTTAGTCTCTCCACCTCTCTACAAGTGTTGTACTTTGCCTCTTCAAAAGCATATGCAGCTGGCGCCGTGGCTCACTAGGCTAATCCTCTGCCTGCGGAGCTGGCACACCGGGTTCTAGTCCCAGTCGGGGCACCAGATTCTGTCCCGGTTGCCCCTCTTCCAGGCCAGCTCTCTGCTGTGGCCAGGGAGTGCAGTGGAGGATGGCCCAGGTGCTTGGGCCCTGCACCCCATGGGAGACCAGGAGAAGCACCTGGCTCCTGCCTTTGGATCAGCGCGGTGCGCTGGCCGCAGTGCGGCGGCCGCGGCGGCCATTGGAGGGTGAACCAACGGCAAAGGAAGACCTGTCTCTCTCTCTCACTGTCCACTCTGCCTGTCAAAAAAAAAAAAAAAAAAAAAGCATATGCATTCATTTTCAACTAACTTAGCCTAGTGAGTCCTTACCTGATGTCCAGGCTGGTAGGGGCTGTTCTTGGCTGCATGGCGATAAGACTGCCAATGAGCTCCTGGCCCTGGGTCTCCCTGTGGCTCCTCGTGGCTTCAGGGTGCACTCCTAAGACCTCGGGAGTGTCCTCGTCCGGTAAGGACTGGATAATATGGATGCAGTCCTGTAGGCTGGCAGACTTGGGCAGGTGCTGACACATCTGAAAGTGTAACCACTTTGTCAGTTTTTGCCCCACTGAGGTCAGCACTTTCAATCCTGCATGAAGACAGTATTTCCCCATGAAACTCTGGGATCACTGTATTGTCAAGTGCATATTACATATATACCTGATTTTCTCGTTGAGAAAAAATAAACAAAAAAGGCACTTTAAAGGCTGGGGAGGGGGTGGCGCTGTGGCTCACTTGGTTAATCCTCCGCCTGCGGCGCTGGCATCCTGTATGGGCGCTGGGTTCTAGTCCCAGCTGTTCCTCTTCCAGTCCAGCTCTCTGCTGTGGCCCAGGAGGGCAGTAGAGGATGGCCTAAGTGCTTGGGCCCCTGCACCTCCATGGGAAACCGGGAGGAAGCACCTGGCTCCTGGCTTTGGATCAGCGCAGTGCTGGCCACGGAGGCCATTTTGGGGGTGAACCAACGGAAGGAAGACTTTTCTCTCTGTCTCTTTCTCTAACTCTGTTAAAAAATTAAAAAAAAAAAAAAAAAAGAAACTTCTGTTAAAAAAAAGCTAGGATAGGGGCCGGTGCTGTGGCATAGTAGGCTAAGCTTCCACCCCTGGCGCCAGCATCCCATATGGGTACTGGTTCGCGTCCCTGCTGCTCCTCTTCCTCTCTCCTATGGCCTGGGAAAGCAGTGGAAGATGGCCCAAGTGCTTGGGCCCCTGCACCTGCGTGGGAGACCCAGAAGAAGCTCCTGACTCCTGGCTTTGTAACAGCCCGGCTCCGGCCATTGCAGCCATTTGAGGAGTGAACCAACAGATGGAGGACCTTTCAGTCTGTCTGTCTTTCTGTCTGTCTGTCTCTCTCTGTAACTCTGCCTCTAAAATAAATAAATAAAATCTTAAAAAAAAAAGAGGTTAGGACAATTCTGACCACTATTTCCCCAGTGAAATATATCCATTGATAATGGATGCAATGAACCTGGAACAAACAATTTTACTTTAGTAAAACCTATAGAAAGGATGTGAAAATGATCTTAAGAATAACAGACCATTGGGGCTGATGTGGTGCGATGGGCTAAGCTGCCGCTTCCAATGCCAGCATTCCCATATTGGAGCACCTCTCTGGGTTCCTGCTGCTCCACTTCCGATCCAGCTCCCTGCTAACATGCCTGGGAAGACCCTGGAAGATGGCTCAAATGCTTGGGCCTCTGCTACCCACATGGGAGATCTGGATAGAGTTCCTGGCTCTTGGCTTCAGCCTGGCCCAATCCTGGCTGTTGCAGGCACTTGGGGAGTGAACCAGCATATGGAAGATTTCTGTCTCTCTCTCTTATTCTGCCTTTCAAATCAATAAATAACTCTTTAAGGAGAGAAAAAGAGAGGAACAGACCACTGACAAAGAAGAAAAGGGCACTGTTCATCCAGTCGGGGAAGCAGGCGGCTGTCTTGATACGCTCAAGGAAAACATTGCAGAATTAAAGAAGGCCACAAGGAAACAGCAAATAACGGAGTCACTGAGCAATGATCTGCAGAAGCTAAGATTATGACAAACAGGAAAAGCCACCAGTTTGGAACTGTGATAAAATCTTCAGTGTTTTAGTCACGACATGATCAGAATGTATGGAAGTGGATGCCTGCATCCCATACTGGGGCACTTGGGTTGGAATCCTGACTCTGCCCCCTGATTCCAGCTTCCTGGTAAGTCCTCAAGTAACTGGGTCCTGGATACCCATGTGGAAGACCTGGGTTGAGTCCCCCACTCTTGGCTTTGGCTCACCCAGCCCTGGCTGCTGTGGGGATGTGGGGAGTGAATCAGTACACGGAAGCCTCTGTCTGCCTGCCTCGTCTCTTTTTACCTCTCTGCATCATCAATAAATATTTTAAAATTTTTAAAAAGAAAGATTAAAAAACAGTTGGAAATCGATGATTTCAGAATGTTTCTATCATCTGAAATAATTCTCACAACCTAATTGTATGTTACCATATACCTTAATCACTTATGCATATGTAATCTAACAATATGTATAAAAAATGATACATGTTGCACTTTTTCAATGATTTAAAGGATTTCCTCAAGGGTGAAATTTTTTTAAAGATTTATTTATTCGGGCAGGCGCCGTGGCTCACTAGGCTAATCCTCTGCCTGCGGCGCTGGCACACCGGGTTCTAGTCCCGGTCGGGGCGCCGGATTCTGTCCCGGTTGCCCCTCTTCCAGGCCAGCTCTCTGCTGTGGCCAGGGAGTGCAGTGGAGGATGGCCCAAGTGCTTGGGCCCTGCACCCCATGGGAGACCAGGAGAAGCACCTGGCTCCTGCCATTGGATCAGCGCGGTGCGCCGGCCACTGGAGGGTGAACCAATGGCAAAGGAAGACCTTTCTCTCTTTCTCTCTCTCTCACTGTCCACTCTGCCTATCAAGAAAAAAAAAAAAAAAAAAAAAGAGAGAGAAAGAAAAAAAAAAAGTATCCATTCTAGCAGTGTCTTCAAGAACCTACCTGACATACCACACCTCCCATTTTGTCTGACTCTCCACTTTCACGGCCATAGGCTGATGGCCGCCTGGAGATGACCCCTGCACCCCTCGGTGGTACCAGGCCCACACCAACTCACCGGGCATCGTCTTCCTTCTTGTCTTCCACTCACCTTCCTTACCCCATTGGTACGCATCAAGACTGACGTCAAGTCCCACTCTCCACACCCTAAGGTCAGCTCTGCTGGCTGCCACGTGGGAGGGCCTAGCCGCTGCTAGTGAGCCTAGAATTTTCTGCTACACATTTGTGGAGGCAAGGGAGGGAAGAAGAGAGGACCAAGGACAAGCCAAAGTGCAGAATTTTGCCTTCTTGAGTACTCATGGTAGGGGCACCTCCTGGAGTCTCAGCTCTGCTGTCTACTTCTCGTATGCTAGCAGTCTGTGAACTGCTTCCTCACCTGTAAGCCAGGAGTAGCATCTACTCCACAGGCTTGTCTGGGGCATTAAATGAGAAACATTCATCAGCCGCGTGGCATGGAACATCTGTACGTGCTGGCTAGCCTGTGCTTCCTTGTCCCTCGTAGGTAACACCCTACGGGCTCAGAGGGTGTGACCAGTTCTTCATCATTCCTATTTACTGCCCTGCAGAATTCAGTACTGGGCAGAGTAATGGGTAAATTACTTCTGTAATACTGTACTGAAAGTTTGGGCCAGCGGTGTGGTGCAGGGGGGTAAGCCACCGTCTGCAGTACCAGCATCTCCTGTAGGCACTGGTTTGAGTCCCAGCTATTCCGCTTCTGATCCAGCTCCCTGCTGATGGTCTGGGGAAGCAGTAGAAACGGCCCAAGTGCTTGGGCCCCTGCACTCATGTGGGAGACCTAGGAGAAGCTCCTGGCTTCTGGCTTTGGATAGGCCCAGTTGTGGCTCTTGCAGCCATTTGGGGAGTGAACCAGTGGGTGGAAGACCTCTCTCTCTGTCTCTGCCTTTATCTCTCTGCAACTCTGCATTTCAAATAAACAAATAAATCTTCTTTAAAAAAAACTGAGTAATATGAGAAGATAATGTTTTTCTTACCTCATCACAAGAGAAGCTGAAGTCATCTCTCAGCACGTCAGGTTTACAGAGCATGTGGAGCAGGGTCTTCAAGCATCGCTCGTCCCAGGGGTCGGTCACCTGGCTGCCGTAAACCACTTCCCCGATGAGGCAGTGCAGTGCCTGCCAGGGAACCTCTGCCGGCGGAGTCAGCACGTTCCCCAGCACCTTCGTGGCCACCTGTAGAAAACCCGCTGGTCGATTTCAGTTCAGCATGTGTGTTTGGCTTACTCTGACATGTTAACATAAAATCAACAACTCTCAAATGGATATGCATAGTCTCTCTTTCAAAAATATAATGAAACAGCAAGAGGAATAAACATATTAGGAAATATGCTTTTATTCACGTGGGTTTTTTGTCGTCGAACACTGAATTTTGCAATAATTATGGCTTTTTTCTGGCTAAACAAACAAAATTAGGGTGCAGAATTCAAAAGGTGCAAAAGAATGAACAAGGGAGAGTAAGCTGTCTTCACCCCCACTGTAGCTGTTAGAAACCATCACTGAGAGCCAATTCTTGGGCATCCTCAAACAGGTATTCTAAGTAACCCATGCACACTCTTTCCCCCGCCTCCTACCCTCTCTCTCTCCTTTTCTATGCCTGCCCTGTCCTTCATCTATTTCTCCTCTCCCTCTCTCCCTTTCCACCTCGATTCTTTCTTGTCTTCCCTTCTGCAAATGCTAGCTCAGCACACATTCCGCCCTGCATGTGGACAAAGCATCTTGGCTGTAACAATTCTACTCTCACTAACAGTGTGTCAAACAACTCTTTGTCAGCCTTCTCTCACCCTCACTGCTAACAGGAGATGATATTCTACAGCCAGCCCTCTGTATGCAGAGATTCTGCACCTGTGGATTCAGCCAACCCCAAAGGGAAAATATTCGAGAACAATCACACCTGTTCTGAACATGTACAGACTTTTTCTTTGTCATTAGTCTCTAAGCACTACAGAATACAACTACTTACATTGTATTGGGTATTATAAGTGACACAGAAATGATTTAAAGGATATTGGAGGACATATGTAGGTTATATGCAAATGTTGTCATCTCATGCAAGGGACTTGAAGATCCAGAGAATCTGGTGTCTAAGGGAGTCCTCGAACCAACCCCTTCTGGATACTGAGGGATGGCTGTACTTAGTGTTTCTAGTCTGATAGGTGGCACCTTGCTCTTAGTTTATTTGTAGATCACCTGGTACTGGTTATTTTGACAATCTTTTTTTTAAAATATGTATTTGAAAGAGAGTGATGGGCATGGGGAGAGACTTCCCCGTACTGACTAGACTCTGAAAAATGACCACAGTGGCTGTGACTGGGGCTGGTCCAGGCCAAAACCAGGAGCCCAGAACTCCACTTGGGTCTCCCATATGAGTGGCAGGGGCCCAAGCACTTGGGCCATCTTCTGCTGCTTTCTCAGGTGGATTAGCAGGGAGCTGGTCAGAGCAACTAGACTTGAACACTTAGGTTTGATATTCTGAACAATGGCTGTTTTTCCTTTGAGTTGTATTTTTCTTGTTGATATGCAAGAACTATTTATGTAGATATGAACACTTGCCAGTCACTTGCACTGCAAATATTGTGCTAAATTTATTATCTGTGTCTTGACTATTAGGTCACCACTTATTTGGTCAAGGAAACTATGACCTGGAGATATTAATTAGCTTTCCCAACGGATTAAAACACAGGTACAACTATCAGTAGTGGAACTATAAACTGATTCCAGAAAAGTTGGCTTCAAAGTCCACAGTTTTAAAATCAGCCCATATTACCTAGTTAGAGTTCATTTTCTCACCAGCACACAAAACACTGAGTGTCTGTGTAGATGCATAGCAGGCTTTCAGTCTGCACCTTACTGTTAGAGGTTACTCTTTGCTCTGAAGAGAGCACACTCACCTCCACGTCTGAAGAACTGAACAGGTAAGGGATATTCCAGCCTGATGTTCCATAGCTCCTCCTCTCATTGATCACAGCATGGGTAAAACAGACGGTGAATAACAGCTTTTTCCACCACGGTCCACAGTTGGGCTGCTCAAATATGTCTTCCGTTATCTCTCCGCTCCCACCATAGCCGAACGTCTGAAGCAAATTACTCTTCAGGCCCTGGGGAGACTCCATGATAATCTTAAAACAGATGTGAACAAAAAGGGCAGGTGAGTGCAGGTGCAGGCAGTGGGCCCACAGTGGGCTCTGCCAGGTAGCACTGGGGGCGGACCCAGGGAAGAAGGGAACTGCTTCCAGGGTTACCGGCAGATCAAAGATGCTGCGCTAATCATCCAACAACTTCTGTACAAGGATTGCCCCAGGTTTTCACGTCGTTCCGGTTCACATTTTAAGGCAAGTGTGATACTGTGATTGAAGGCGCTGCTGTCCACTGTGAGTATAGGGTTTGGGAAGCACAGCATTTTGGCACGTCTGACAATGAGAAGTCTCTGTAGTCGAAACAGAGGGCTCCGTGGCAGCTAAGTGCAGGAACAGCATCAGGGCTGCAAGGCCTCAGCAGGGTGCAGAATCGCAGGAAACAGAGCACTAATGCCACCAACGAACCCAGCTGGTCCTCCCAGATATTAAGGGAAGCAATTCGGGGCTGGTGCTGTGGTGCACTGGGCTAAGCCTCCACCTGTGGCACCAGCATCTGTATGGGTACTGTTCTAGTCCTGGCTGCTCCTCTTCCAATCCAGCTCCCTGCTGATGGTCTAGGAAAGCAGTAGAAGATGGCCCAAGTCCTTGGGCCCCTGTACCCACGTGGGAGACTGGAGGAAGCTCCTGGCTCCTGGCTTCAGATTGACCCAGATCAAACTGTGGCCATTTGGGGGAGAGAACCAGTGGATGAAAGATCTTTCTATTGGTCTTCTCTCCCTCTGTCTGGAACTCTACTTCTCAACTAAATAAATAAAAATCTTAAAAAAAAAAAGTAGGGAAACCATTCATTTGGTATGTTACTAAATGGTTTTGCCTGCATTGAAAATCCATTTGGTTGACTCAATTAGGGTAACTGAAGTGATAAGGGACTGGGGGTGAGGTGGGGAAGTGGGGACACCATCACAGGAGAGCTTTTTGGGAGAGTGTTCAGTCTGCAATGGTGCAGATTCTGAGATGCTACCTTGTGTGCACAATGTATACACACACACACACATACACACACACAAGCTAGGACTGTAATTCAAAATTCATTCACAAATCAAAAAACAGCAGTATTAAGTACCACACGGAGATGGTGTGGTATGTCTTATAATACATGTAAGTGTGGAGATATGCATCTATGTCACTTGGATGTGTGTGCGCCTGTGTGTGCATGTGAACATGAGCCCTTGAGGCAGGAATGGCTATCTGCTCACAGAGCTGCTCCTGTCGGTGTTCCCTTCATGGGCAGGGGCGGTGGGAGTCAGTGGGAGCTCAAATCAGGAAGCTTGGAGCTTAGACAGAAAGGCTGGCACAGCAGCCCCTCCTCCCCTCCCACAACAGAGAGAGAGACGGAGAGAGGGAGGGGGGAGAGAGAGAATCTAACAGTTCTCTAGGCTTGGACAGCCCTGGAGTGGACAAAAATGGCTTTCAGTTTTATTAGCACAGAATGTGAAGTAAGTGGCTCCAGAGGGTGGATGACCAGCTGCCTCCTGTCTGTAAGGATCTGAATGTGAGCAAGTGGTTCTGGGAAGCACCGGTACACGAGACATTGTCCATCTTCCACGGTAGGCTTGCCTTTCTTTTTCTTTTTAAGATTTATATATTTGAAAGGCAGAGTGACAGGGAGGGAAGAGGGGGAAGACAGAGAGGAGAGGGTGGGAGGGGTGTGGAAAGAGAGAGGGAGAAAGAGAGAGAATTCTTTGATCTGCTGGTTCAATCCCCAAATGCCTGCAATAGCCTGGGCTAGACCAGGCTGAAGCCAGGTGACAGTAACTGCGCCGGGTCTCCCACGTGGGTAGGAGGGGCCGCAGCATTTGGGCCATCACTCACTGCTTCCCCAGGCACAGGAGCGGGAAGCAGGGAAGGAAGCGGAGCAGCGGAACCGGCGCTTTGGAATGGGACTGGTATAGGATGGGGTGCTCCGGGCGGTGGCTTATGTGCCACAGCGCCAGCTCATCCGCCTGCCACACACGCGTGCATGCAGGCTGCAGCTTTCTCTCTGCGCAGAGGCCCTGACTGCAGAGATGAGCAGGAGGTCAGGATGACCTTTCCTGACTGCTGCTGCTTCTTTCCAAAACCTCTTCTTGTGTCTCTAGAGTAGGCGTCTGCCTGCCCTCTTACAGGACACACCCGCAGGGCAGAGAGCGCCGCAGGAAGGAAAGATGGGCACGGCGATCTGATGATGGAGTCAGCACACTGCTGCTCCGCATCAACACCCCACCGCTTATGTGGCCTTCTAGAAGCGGCTCGCCTCATCCAACTGTATAAAATGTCAAAGGCTACACACACACACACACACACACACACACAGGAACTTCAAAAAGTTCATGGATAGTACAATTAAAAGGTAAGTTTATTTTTGTTGTAAAAATTTGTGAAATCTATGCATATGAGGGATCTTTACAAAGTTCATGGAAATGTTTATTATGAGAAAACTATGTAATGATTTCCAATTTTTTTTGCAACAAAATAACCTTACCTTTTCGTTCCATTTTCCATGAACTTTTAGAAGTACCCTCGTATCTGTTATCTGTGTGCGTGTATATAGCAAAATCACTTTCCCTTCTGGATTAATGTCTTCTCATATTACTTTGTCAACGCTGTGTAAGAACAGTTACTTCATAGCACTAACTACATTACTGATGTTTAATCTTTCCCGATCTGGTGGACCATGAAAGCTATCTCATTGTTTTGATTTTTTTTAAAGGCTGAACTTTTTTTCAGATGTCTATTTACCTCTTGTGTCCTTTGCCTATTTTTTTTCGGGATGTTAGTATTTTCCTTTTTTCTAAGTGCTCTAATTTATATATTGAGGAAATTATCATGTCTGTCTGTATAGATAACGATAAATCTCATAAATTCTTCTGATGCACTAATTATAACCACATTAAAAATGCACACACTTGGCTGGCGCCGGGGCTCACTTGGCTAATCCTCGCCTGCGGCGCCGGCACCCCGGGTTCTAGTCCCGGTTGGGGCGCCAGATTCTGTCCCGGTTGCTCCTCTTCCAGGCCAGCTTTCTGCTGTGGCCCAGGAGTGCAGTGGAGGATGGCCCAAGTGCTTGGGCCCTGCACCCCATGGGAGACCAGGAGAAGCACCTGGCTCCTGGCTTCGGATGGGCGCAGTGTGCCGGCTGTAGCGGCCATTTTGGGGGTGAACCAACGGAAAGGAAGACCTTTCTCTGTCTCTCTAACTCTTCCTGTCAAAAAAAAAAAAAATGCACCCACTAATGGAGCTGTAACGTAGACTGGGGCTATGGGCCTACTTAAGATGAAGTGTTCCGTGAGGCTCTCTCTCCCCCTCCGCCACCTCTCATTCCTCCACCCCTATCACTTCTGCCCGTATTCCCCACTCTGGCTCCAGGGGAAAGGCTCTTTGAGATCAGAGTCTGCCAGACTCTGAGGCCTCACCCTAAAAGCTGCGGATTCCTCTGATCCTCATTCGTGCCCCAGGAGTGGTGCTGCTGGAGGTGGCTCAGCGCCGTCTGTCTTGCAAGTGCATGCCGGGGGTGGTCGAGAACTGGGAGCAGGGACGGGAAACCTCCTGCTTTCCCAAGAGCGAGCTGGACTCGTTTCAGGCTGGATTGGGATTCTGCCAGGAGGGAGCCTCCTCCAGCTACTTTCCTCCATTCCTCATCGAGTCTGCTCCAGCGCCAAGTGTGTACCGGCTTGTGTGTCGGGGCACAGCGAACTCCCTGTGCCACTGCTGGGACCTAGTCTGGGTTAGCTGTGCCCTTGCTGGACAGAACTGACCAAGTCTACTACGCACTCAACCTCGGGGCGGATAGGAGCAGAAGTCACAGAATCATTACTGAGGACTTTTTAATAATGATGCTCGGCCTGCTTTTGGCTAGACTCTTCTCAGAGAACTGATGAGTTGTCAGACGGCGAAGCTGGCAGAAGCCAGAAAGAGCTAGAGAAGAGAAGGCAGTAAAAGGCCGCTCATGATCTATTTTGGTTGGTAACACCCTCATGGGGGAAAACCAAGGCCTACACTGTGAATTACCTGAGAGCAGAGATCCTGTCTGCTATCCAGCATCTTTCCTGGTCCCTCGTGTAAGACCAGCAGAAGGCACACAATTAGCACACCAGCATCAGCGGGCAGGAATTATTGTCTTAATTCAGAACTATGAATGCAGGATCCACATGCCAACCGGGTGCTGGGTTCCTCGGTCGGTGTAGGACCTGCTGTGCTCTGTTCTTACCTTCACGCCTGCCTGAAGAATGGGAGCCGGGATAGAGCTGTCTGATCTTGTGCTTAACCACAGCCTAAACTCAGGGTGTATTTTCATGTCTGGATCATTAAGTCTGTAACATAAGATGTTTATAAATATCTGAATGTGAAAATTTTAAACAAAGCCACCATGTTCTCAGAGTCACTCATTTCAATGTTTGAAGTGACAAATAATTTTTTAAAAGACTTATTTTGCTGGCGCCGCGGCTCAATAGGCTGATCCTCCGCCTTGCGGCGCCGGCACACCGAGTTCTAGTCCCAGTTGGGGCGCCGGATTCAGTCCCGGTTGCCCCTCTTCCAGGCCAGCTCTCTGCTGTGGCCAGGGAGTGCAGTGGAGGATGGCCCAGGTGCTTGGGCCCTGCACCCCATGGGAGACCAGGAGAAGCACCTGGCTCCTGGCTTCGGATCAGCGCGATGCGCTGGCCACAGCGCGCTGGCCGTGGCGGCCATTGGAGGGTGAACCTACGGCAAAAGGGAAGACCTTTCTCCCTCTCTCTCTCTCTCTCTCTCACTGTGCACTCTGCCTGTCAAAAAAAAAAAAAGACTTATTTTATTTATTTGAAAGGCAGAATTACACACAGAGGTAGAGGTAGAGGTAGAGGTAGAGAGATCTTTCATCTGCTGGTTCCCTCCCCAAATGGCAGCAACATTTGAGGCTGAGCTGATCCAAAGGCAGGAGCCAGGAGCTTCTTCCAGGTCTTCCACGTGGGTGCGGGGGCCCAAGCACTTGGGCCATCCTCCACTGCCTTCCCAGGCACATTAGCAGAGAGCTGCATTGGAAGTGGGGCAGCAGGGACTCAAACCAATGCTCAAATGGGATGCCGGCACTGTAGGTGGTGGCCTCACCTGCTATGTCACAGTACCGGCCCCTTAAGTATAGTTTTATTTTTTAGTTCTGCTGTCCTGCTCATATTTTAAATTTATTATTATTTATTTGCAAACTAGACAAAGAGAGATCGATCTTCCTTTTACTGGCTCATTCCCCAAATGCCAGCAACTAGGGCTAGGCCAGGTCAAAGCCAATAGCCCAGAACTCAATCCAGGTGTCCCATGTGCATGGAGTCATCATTTGCTTGCCTCCCCAGGTGCAATAGTAGGAAGCTGGAATCCAGAACACAGCCAGGACTTTTACCCAGGCACTCTCAACTGCCGTCTTAACCGCTATACCAGAGACCCTTCTCTCATTTTCAAAATAAAAATATTATATAGTACATACTGTTGGTATTTTCCCTCCTAGAAAGAAACTGTGAAGGGGCCGGTGCTGTGGCATAGTGGGTAAAACCACTGCCTGCAGTGCCGGCATCCCATATCGGCGCCAGTTCGAGTCCCAGCTGCTCCACTTCTGACCCAGCTCTCTGCTATGGCCTGGGAAAACAGTAGAGGATGGCCTGAGTCCTTGTGCCCCTGCACCCGCTGTGAGACCGAGAGGAAGTTCCTGGCTTCTGGCTTTGGATCAGCCCTGCTCTGGCCGTTTTGGCCATTTGGGGAGTGAACCAGCAGATGGAAGGCTTCTCTCTCTCTCTGTGCCTCTGCCTCTCTGTAACTCTGCCTTTCAAATAAATAAATAAATCTTAAAAAAAGAAATTATGAACATATTTCTTTAATTACTAAACTTAAGAAACATTTTTCTTCATATTTTTCTCTTCACTAGGCTTCTAGAGTTATAATCTAAATATCTAAGGTTTCACTTAATAAGCAAATATGGATTTTTTAAATCACACTCTATTATATTGAATTTTAGTGTATCATTAATTACTCAGTAAGATTTTGCAATTGTGTTCTGAGGAACATGTCCCTAATTTCTTTTTCGTGACACATGGCTACTGGCCATTGCACTGTGTCTCTCCACATTAGTGTACTCTGTGTGCTGCTGTGGAATCTGTCTGGTCTGGGCTGTGTGTCTGATGAGAGCTGGGAAGTAGCAGATGTTCTACCACTACTTTTGAAAGAACAGGGAATGAAAGATGTGGCAGAAACTATCACGTCAACTTTCAAAGCGCACATCCACTGAAATCCGCTGGCCAATCTTCATTTCTGACTCCCAGGTGACACAATAAATGTCAATGACAGAAAATATTAACTTATTTCTAAACTGCTTCAGGAGTAACAGTATGGGGTGCGTACCGTGGCACAGCAAGTGCAGCTGCTGCTTGGGGCACTTGCATTCCATGTCAGAGTGCCATTCTGAGTCCCTGCTACTCCACTTCCCATCCCATTTCTTGCTAATGCACCTGGGAAAGCAGCAGGTGATGGCCCAAGTACTTGGGCCCCTGCCACCCTGTGGGGGACTTGGATGGAGTTCCTGGCTCCTGGCTTCAGCTCTGTTTAGTCCCGGCTGTTTCAGGCATTTGGGGAGTGATCCAGCAGATAGAAGATAGCGCTCTCTCTCTCCCTCTCTCTCTCTCCTTCTCTCTGCATCTTCTCTGTCATTCTGCCTTTCAAATAAATACTTTAAAAAAAAAAGAAAAAAAAGGAAAACACTCCAAGAATAGCATGAATGACAGTAGGGCAGATTTTAGAGATTTAAGTCTGGTAGTTGCATTTTGGTTTTATAATCTCCTGCGTGCACTCAAAGTATGAAAATACCAGTACTAAAAGAACTTCATTTAAAAACATCCCCCCACACTCCCAACAATGGGCCATACAAAGTCAATCAGAGAGAACAGCAAGGCTGTGATGGCTTAAAATATTGTGAATTACCACACTGCTAATTCTTCACTCAAGGTTACAGGAAGGAACTTTCAAACAAGAAAGGCTTAACTTCCACTGCAAGCAAGAAGGCTGAACCTATGGAGAACCAGTGTTTTGGGAGGTCCAGCCTAGAAAAGTGGGCTGAGCAGGGAAAGTCAGAATGGACACCAATTATAGGCCAGTAAGGGAATCATCACTGAACTCTGGATAGGAGGTACTGTACTCTGCTGTCCACAATCACAGAGGATGTTAAAAAGCATGGCATTTATGGAGCTACACACTGGCCTATAGTATGTATGCAAGCATGTGTGCCCATGGAGAGTTTCAGGAGAGAAAAAAATGATCGCTAAGGCAAACAACAAACACTAAAGAGACTTTTCTGCTAGTAAATATCAGTGCCTTTCTAGCATAGTTTTCAAGTTCTTGGAGAAAAGAGAACCCATCCACGTAAAAGAGCTTAAGTTCCCTTGGACAGGCCCAAAGCATAATCATCGTGTACACACAGAACTCATTCCTGTCCCCGACTTTAGTTCACAGTTTTCCTAACCAACTTGATCTCTCCCCACGAATGAACGTAAAGCTCTTACGATTCTACAATAGCGCAGAGCCTTGGCACAAATGCCGCTGCTAAGTGGCAATTCTGGAGGAAGACCCACTGCTGCTCCGTTTTGGTTAGCGCTTTAGCGATGAGGTCCTCGGCTTTAGCTGCCTGGCCGCGGCCCAAGGAGATCATGGTCACGTGACTCGTTGTTCCTTTCAACTCCTGTGCGAATTTCAGGAGCATGTCGGTGGGGTCAATCCCTGTATAAGAACGTGGAGAGCGACACGACCGCGTAAGCTCACTTAACTCTCTCTTAAAAAGCACAAACCTGCATTGATAGGGTGGAAGCCACGGTGTGGCCACAGCGGAAAGACAAGCTCTGAAATTAGAGCCCAGGGCTCAAGTTTCGGCTCTGTGGCTCTCGCTGGCTGGGAAACCTAGTTTTTCTGACACTTGGGATGACGGCACCTGGCCTCAGCGGCACCTGCTGGTTGTCTACTCGTGCATCTCCTTGTCTCCTCCTCCCCGGTAGCTGGAGGCCGGCGTTGCTCCAGGTGGCCGTGTAATCAGCGCAGAGGGTGCATTTTTTAGCCTCTGTCGCAGCCAGGTATGGGCGTCTAAGTTTGGGAAGTGGGTTTCGGCAGCAGCAGTTCTTAGCAGGAGGGCTGTGTAATACCTTGGGTATGTCCCGGAAGGGAGAAGCTGTGCCCTTCTTTTTTCTATTCTGTTGTTTAGAATAGGATGTGATGGAGAGGGCCCTCGACGCCATCTGACCTACGTCTACAGGGAGTGGTCAGCACGGGCTGTGAGTCTCAGGCAAATAGCTGGGTTCTTTACGTGGAAACGCTCCAGGGGAGAAAGCCTCCGGGAGGGGCACTCTGGACAAGGCTGTCAGGTAAGGGGATCAAAGTGTGAAAATGGCAGATTCTCAAGGATTTGGACTTGGAGACTACAGAGAACATGCTAAATGAAGAGAACAGTGTGCTTAGGAGGAGATACTGTACTTCAGGTCTACATGCCAAAGACAAGAAAGAGAAAAAAAAAAGGCATTTCGAGTTTTACTAAGGAATACAAGGGTGAAATTCTGATAGTTTATTTTATAACATATATGTTTTTACTCAAGTCAATGTTAACTAAAGCAGATAGTAAGTGTAGGGGCAATGCCAAGTTTCAGAACAATAATGTGTGTTTATAAGGTATCCTCTGCAAAGAAAGTTAGCACCGATAAGCTTTTCTGTATTTGTAAACCTGGGAGGTTTTATTTCTCTTAGTTCTTTTGTATTTTTAGAAAGATTCATTTTTAATGTAGTTTAAAATTTTACTCCATCCCTTTTCCAAAATGTTTGAGCAAGGATAGGAAATATTTTAAACATGGAATAACCGGACACCGAACCTACTGCTCCCCATCAGTGATGAACAGCTCATCACTCGTCTCAAGGACTCACACACAGCTTACCAGGAGAGTGGATGAGGACCAGGGGCGTCCTGGCATTTGATCCCTCGTATGATTCTTTCAGATTAAGCCCGGTTCTAGGAAGATACTCATTTCCCATTTTTTCAGCTATAAATTTTCTCACTGATTTCCTTAAATGATCAGGTCTCAGAATTTTAATCTAGGAAAGAATATGTGGAAGACAAAGTAATTTTTAAAACCTCTCAGGGGACTCCTCTTCATGGCAAAATGCAACAAACCTGACAAGCTTGGGGGGAGTTTAATGGGAAACGGCCACCATGGCCTTCTAGATCCTGCTGAGTGAGACCTCACTCTGGATGAAAAGATACAAGTTCTGCTCCTTGATTCTGCAAAAACAGCCCCTCCCCTAGGGTCCTCTCTGCTCCGCTTTACATGTCTAGAGCAAGAAAGCATCACAGTGGTAGTGGGACAGGAAACCGGGATATCCATTATATAGTGAAAATAAAATACCACAATCTTTGTGTGTTTATATAAATAGAAAAGAATTCTAGATGGTCTGAAAGATTCTGTAAACAGCACACATACTGTAAAGCAGAGGTTCAAGTCTATTGGACATCATTGCAAATTTCAGAGGAAAGGCCTTTCCCATGAAAATTGTTCTACCCAAATTACTTCTGTGCTATCTTTGTACAGAAAAGATTCGAAGTATGTCGTGAGCATGTTCGGGATCCAGGAATCCATCACCTAAGGCAAAACGGAAACTGTGTGTCTGGTTGTCTGTGTGGATGCGCAGAGTTGAACCAGGGGAAGCTGCCATTTCTGTAAGTCAAAAACTGTGCAGGCTTTGGCTTGGCTTAGCGCTTGCTGCTGTGATCATCTGGGGAGGGAACTAGCAGATGGAAGGTCTCTCCCTCTGTCTCTGTAACTCTTTCAGATCAATCAATCTTCACAAAACAAAACCTGCCAGGGTGGAGGTGTTTGGCTTAGTGGTTAGGATGCTGGTGCATCCCATATGGGAGTGCCTGGGTTTAGTGGATGCCCTGGATTCTGATTCCAGTTTCCTGTTAATGCAGCCCCTGGGAGGCAGTGGTGATGGCTCAAGTACTCACTTCCTGTGGGAGACCTGGATAGAGTTTTCAGCTCCTGGCTTCAGCCCTGGCCCAGTCCCTGCCACTGGGGGCCATGGAGGAGGTGGGTGGGGGGTGAACCAGCAGGTGGAAGCTCTTGTTCTACCTCTTAAAACAAATAGAGACACTGCCAAATATTGCCAATTTCATATTTAACATATTTAATTCTGCTCTTTTCTGTTTTTCTTTTTTCTTTTTTTTGGTAAAATTAAGCTCAGAATTTTATTATACTTCAATGCATCATTTATTAAAACTTTTTATGTTTAAAATTTATTTATTTACTTATTTTCATTTTACTTGAAAGGTAAACATATATATATATATATATAGAGAGAGAGAGAGAGAGAGAGAGAGAGAGACAGAGATCTTCAATTCAGTAGTTCACTCCCCAAATGCCTGCAATAGCCAGGACTGGATCAGGCTGATGGCAGGAGCCTGGAACTCAGTCCGGGTCTCCCATGTGGGTGGCAGAGATCTAAATATTTGAGCCATCACCTGTGGCCTCCTAGGGTGCACATTAGCAAGAAGCTGAATTGGAAGTGGCAGTGGTGGAGCCAGGACTGGAACCCAGGCACTCCTGATAGGTGGATGCAGGCATTTCAAGTGGCTACTTACCTGCTGCTTCAAACCATACACCCCTCATTTTTTTTTTTTTTAAGATTTTATTTATTTTATTTGAGATGCAGAGTTACAGACAATGAGAAGGAGAGCAGACAGAAAGGTCCTCCTTCCATTGGTTCACTCCCCAAATGGCTGCAACGGCCGGAGCCGCGCCGATCCGAAGCCAGGAGCCAGGAGCTTCTCCCACATGGGTGCAGGGGCCCAAGCACCTGGGCCATCCTCCACTGCTTTCCCAGGCCACAGCAGAGAGCTGGACTGGAAGAGGAGCAGCTGGGACTAGAACCGGCGCCCATATAAGATACCGACATTTGTTTTTAAAAACAGAACTGACTTGGGGCCGGTGCTGTGGCATAGCGGGTTAAGCTGCTGCTTGCAGTGCCAGCATCCCATATGGGCGCCAGTTCTTGTCCTGGCTGCCCCTCTTCCGGTCCAGCTCTCTGCTGTGGCCTGGGAAGGCAGTAGAAGATGGCCCAAGTCTTTGGGCCTCTGCACCCATGTGGGAGACCTGGAGGAAGTTCCTGGCTCTTGGCTTCGGATGGACGCAGCTCTGGCCATTGTGGCCAATTGGGGAATGAACCAGCAGATGGAGGACCTCTCTCTCTCTCTCTGCCTCTCCTCTCTCATGTAACTCTGACTTCCAAATAAATAAATCTTTACAAAAAAATAGAACTGACTTTGCACCAAGAATCTGGGGTCAGAGAACAGAGTCCACTCAGTGTGTTTAATCAATGAGACAGCATTAGAATCAGCCAAGTGAGACAAGTGGCTCAGCGCGGTCCCCTGACTGCTGGGAATCTATGCTCTCTGTCATCGTCACGGAGCCGCTTCCTCCTTTACTCGATTTCTCCCCTGTTGTGAATTTTAACCTCCAGGGCCTCTTGGTGGTTGTTACATGTGTGAGGCTGTGAGGCAGACTCTGGCCTGCCCTTAAAGGACGGGGTCTGTCTGCTTCTGCTGAATGGAGCAGCAGGGTGGGAAGTGTGCTCTTTGCAGGCAGACAGATCCCCAAAGCACGGGACAAAAGGACTGAGCCATGCACTCTCAGGGTTTTTTTTTTTTTTTTTTTTTTTTTTGCTTTTTTAAAAATAAATATTTATCTATTTGAAAGGCAGAGACAGAGAGAGAGATGGAGAGATCTTCCATCTGCTGGTTCACTCCCCAAATGGTTGCAGTAGCTGGAGCTGGGCCAGGTCAAAGCCAGGAGCTTCCTCTGGGTCTCCCACGTGGGTGCAGGGGCCCAAGCACTTGTGCCATCCTCTGCTGCTTCCCCAGTCGCAGTAGCAGGGAGCTGGATCGGAAGTGGAGCACTCACAGGAGATGCCTCCTGCGCTGCAGGTGGTGGCTTTAACCTGCCTCAGCCCCTAGTTCCTCTCTCGCGCGGTGGAACAGGCAGCCAAGGAAACATTAAGGGCCGAATGTGAGTTCTGCCCTCTAGAGCATTAATGTTCACTAAATGTTAGCTTTTAAAATCAATGTATTTTGTATTTAACATTCTAATTTCGAAGGGTTTAAGTTACTAACAAGGTGCTTCAAACATGTAGATTGCCTCATGGTCCATCTTACCAAAATAAGTCTTTGAAACAACGTGAGTTTCTCCCAGGGAAAAGGTATAGGTGTACATACGTCTTCACTTTCATTCCAAAGTTCAGCTAGATAAATTTAGAAAAAGAGACTGTAGTCAACAAGCAAATACTCTGCATCACTAAATAATGTCACAGTGAAAATTTCTGTTAAATTAGGATATAAAAAATGTATATGAATGCAACAGACATCTTGTGATTTGATTGTTGTTTTTAACTTGTTTATATTCCTGTGGAGCTGCGGTCTTTCTACTTTTCAGTTAGTGAATATTACTGTCAGTAGTGCATTAATCCTGTGATTATAGAGTGGGTTGAAATTCTATTGTTGCAAAAATCAAAGAAAAAAAAAAGAAAAGAATAAGGGAGGGGGATTGAGGGACTGAGGGAGGGAGGGAGGAAAAGAGGGAGGTATGATTATTTTAGAATTGGCTCTACATAACACATAAAATTTGTTCTCTTTATATTAATAACATTAAAAAAGCATCTTGTAGGCAGCATGGAAAACTTATTTTTAAGCATGGCTGATTTTTCTTTTTTTATTTCACAGGTAGAGTTATAGACAGTGAGAAAGAAAGAGACAGAGAGAAAGGTCTTCCTTCCGTTGGTTCACTCCCCAAATGGCCGCTACAGCCGGAGCTGCGCTGATCTTAAGCCAGGAGCTAGGTGCTTCCTCCTGGTCTCCCATGCGGGTGCAGGGCCCAAGCACTTGGGCCATCCTCCACTGCCTTCCCGGTCCATAGCAGAGAGCTGGACTGGAAGAGGAGCAGCCGGGATTAGAACCTGGCGCCCATATGCGATGCCTCTGCAAGGCAGAGGATTAACAAAATGAGTCACGGTGCCGGCCGCAAAGCACAGCTGACTTTTAAAGTGAGCTTCATTTCCAAAGGATTTAAAGTTCCGCTCCGCATCCTGAATAACTCAACAGAGGTACTTATTCAGTGGGTTGAAGTTCACCTTACCCCAGTGGCTGATGCACACTGGGAGGCAGCTGACAGAAGGGAATGAGAAGCAGAGGGCACAGCCTAGACTTTATAATCTGCTCCTGCATGTGGGATGCTTTCTTTAGGAATACAAACTAAAATAACACTAGTGGCTAGAGATTTCTATTTATGACTCACTTATAACAGGTATAGGAAGTGAGAACTGAATGGAAGTGCAACAAGGTTATCATGCTTTTGAAAATTTAACATAAACCTATTCCCAGCCACGGAGCCTCTGCCTGCAAGGTGGGAAGCCTGCCAGTCTTTGTTCCAAGTCATCCTAGAAACAATTGTCATTTCGACTCACCTTTTAATTTTGGATATTTCCCTAGTGTTTAACTTTAAATGCAACTTAGATTATTTAAAAAATTAGCTTTTTTGAAAGTAGCTAGCAGTTGACACTGTGGCATAGTGGGTAAAGCCGCTGCCTGTAATGCTGCTGACCTCCCATGTGGTGCCAGTTCCTGTCCCAGCTGCTCCACTTCTCATCCAGCTCCCTGCTATTAGCCTGGGAAAGCAGTGGAAGATGGCCTAGGTGCTTAGGTCCCTGCTACCCACAAGGAAAACCTGGAAGAAGCCTCTGGCTCCTGGCTTTGGCCTGGCTCAGCTCTAGCCTTTGCAGCCATCTGGGGAGAGAACCAAGTCTTTCTTCCTCCTATCCCCCTTGCCCTCCCTGTGGCTTTTTCAAATAAATAAATGATTTTTTTAAAGATTTATTTTATTTATTTGAAAGATAGAGTTACAAAGAGAGGTAGAGACAGAGAGAAAGGTCTTCTATCTGCTGGTTCCCTCCCCAGATGGCCACAATGACCGGAGCTGCGCTGATCCGAAGCCAGGAGCTTCTTCCGGGTCTCCTACATGGGTGCAAGGGCCCAAGGACTCATGCATCTTCTACTGCTATCCCAGGCCATAGCAGAGAGCTGGATCAGAAGAGGAGCAGCCAGGACTAGAACTGGCGCCCATATGGGATGCCAGCACTTCAGGCCAGGGTGTTAACCCGCTGAGCCACAGCACCGGCCCCATAAATGATTTTTTTAAAAAAAGAATGTAGCTAATATAAGTGCATCAATTAAAGAAAAATCATGATATATGAAAATGTAGCTGCAAAGGGGTAAACTTGTGGGATTATTTGCAAAATAAAAAGGTCTTCTTTATAAAAATGGTCAATAAAGAGTTATTTTAATAAATTACTGATTCTCTTAATAAAACAAATTATGGGTCCCACACAGATTAGTGACAAATGCGACAAAATAAAACAATGACTCAGAAAAAAAACTCCAGGAGAGGGGGAGACTTTCTTAACCAGAACTGAAAATCAAGACGTTGTAAAAGAAAAAAAATAGATGCAATTGACTATATAAACATTTAAACATTGGTATAGTACAGATACTATAAACAATAGACAATGAACAGATTCAGAATAGTATTTGAATGAAGACGTTACCATTTATATAACAAAAGGATAACTTTATAACACTGACAGAATTCTTATAGGAAAAAAAGAACATACACAGTCCAGTGGAAAAATGGGAAAGTTTATGGATAGGAAACTCCACATGGTCAACAAACATCTAAAATGAAACTTAAAGTTGTTACTAGGAAAATTCAAATCAAGGTATTTCAAGCTTAAAATTGGTAAAAGTTAAAAAAAAATCATTACTTCTATTGCTGGTAAAAATAAAAATTATCATAAAAGAAAGGAAGCAGGTAGCAACTAAAAACACAAAATGACTTTTGACTAGAAATCTCCCTTCTGGTTATTTACCCCACAGGAATAAAAGGAAATGTGTGTGAGGATGTCTATGTTACTGCATAACAGAACTGCACACTCTGGCAAAAATCTGGAAGCAAAAGGGAGAAACATATGGGATGAAACTGAGTCAAGGTGTTATGGGTGGAAGCCGCAGGGAAAACAGGGAGGAGACTTCCAAATAGAAAAATGGATTAGACACCCTAAAACCAGCAAGTCAGTGCATTTAAAATAAGATCCATCTCCTATGTAATTTTTTAAAAAGACTTATTTATTTTAAAGGCAGAGTTAGAGAGAGGGAGAGGCAGAGGCAGAGGCAGAGGGAGAGAGCGAGAGCGAGAGCGAGAGCGAGAGCGAGAGCGAGCCGGAGCTGGGCCAATCTGAAGCCAAGAGCCAGGAGCTTCTTCCAGGTATCCCATCTGGGTGCAGGGGCCCAAGCACTTGGACCATCCTCTGCTGCTTTCCCAGGCCATTAGCAGGGAGTTGGATCAAAAGTAGAGCAGCTGGCATTCACTGTGGCATAGCAGGTAAGGCCACTGCCTGCAGTGCTGGCATCCTATATGGGTGCTGGTTCTTATCCTGGCTGCTCCACTTCCGCTTCAGCTCTCTGCTATGGCCTGGGAAAGCAGTGGAGGATGGCCCAAATCCTTGGGCCCCTGTACCCACGTGGGAGATCCAGAGGAAGCTCCAGGCTCCTGGCTTCGGATTGGCTCAACTCCAGCAGTTGCGGCCAACTGGGGAGTGATCCAGCAGATTGAAAACCTCTCTCTTTTGCTCTCTCTGCCTTTCAAAAAAAAAAAAAAAAATTCAGTAGTCAACCCCTTTCAGATTTGGCCTCTCTTGCAGCACTGCACCCCTCCCCTCCCCTCATTCTGACAGAGGTCTCTGACTTAAATGACTCTTGCTTTTCTCTCTGCTTCATCCGCTTGGAAATTCTTCTTCCGTGGAAGGTACCGTAACAAAAGGAGGAATTTATATAGGCTCCTTCAGACTCCAGATTCAAAACTAGTGGTTTTTTTAAAAATCTATTTCATCCACTTAAAAAGGAGGGAGGTAGAGGGGAGGGAGAGGGAGGGAGGGAGGGAGGGCAGGGAGAGTGTGTATGTGTGTGTGTGTGAAGAGGGTGTGGGTGGGGATGATATCTTCTATCTGCTGGGTCACTCTGCAAATGCTTAAAGCAGTCAGGGAGCCATGGCTGGACGAGGACAAAGCCAGGAGTCTCTGTGAATTTCCTAGGTACTTGGACCATCATCTGCTTTCTCCCAGAACGTATTAGCAGGAAGCTGGATCAGAAGCGGAGCAGCTGTGACTGAAACCAGCACTCTGATATGGGATGTGGGCATCAGAATGCCTACCCCAAAAACTGTGTTTGTAATGAAACTGCTGTGGTCTATTTAAATTCTCTAAAAGTCTGATCTCTTAGTAGTTTCTCATCAACAACAATGAAGTTCACATTAACCATCTCACAAGACGGCTTGGAGGATTACACTGAATGATACATATGTGCTTAGAGCATAGTTAGTTATACTCATCCTATCACTCTTTCATAAAAGTCAATCACATTTATAAATCAAAGATCTACACACAATTAGATTAAGACAGTGAATACTTTCTTACTTCCTTCTGATGATCTTGCACTCTCTTCCAAGGAAGCACTTTCTGAACAGAAGGGCGTGCTGATCAGAGAATAGACATCCATGCTGACCCTGACAGCATCCCACTGTGCTACATGTGACGACAGGGACTCACAGAGAAGTGCAAACGGTTTCAGCTGACTGCTGATATACAGGCACTGCTTCCACCTGGAAGCCGACAGCCAACGAAGGTGTGGATTCTTATACTTCTCAAACATGCCTAACAGAAAAGTTAAAGTGACTACATTAGAAGACAGATTGATTGTTGAGAAGAAACCAGTTTTTTGGTGAAATTAATTGCACCAAAGTTACTTCTTTTCATTGTGGTAACAAACTTAACCATCTTCAGTGTACAGTTCGTAGTGCTCAGTGTGCTTACGTTCTGTGAAACAGAGCATCAGTACTCCTGCAAGTCTGAACCTCTGCATGCAGCACACAGCTCCCTGCCTCCCCTCCTCCCAGAGCTTGGTGGCCACCAGCCTACTGCCCATTCCTGTGAATCGGACTTCAGCTACCTCACGTAAGCAGAGGGACACAGTATTTGCCTTTCTGGGACCTGCTGAGTTCATTCAGGGTAATGTCCTCAGGGTTTATCCATGTGGTAGGATGCTACAGATTTCCTTCCTTTAACAGACCAAATAACATTCTACTATAGGCTTATGCCACATTTTGTTGATCCATTCATTCACTGGTGGACATCTGGGTTATTGCAAATAGTACTGCTATAAACTGGCATGCAACGCTCTCTCAGCCTCTGCTTTCGTTCTTCTGGCTATATACCCAGAAAGGGACTGCTGGGTCATACGGTAATTCACTTTTGCTTTTTGGAAATAACAATGCTGTTTTCCACAATGGTTGCACCATTTTATAATCATGTTAGGTGTCCACAGGGTTCCCAATTTCTCCACATCTCTGTAAACATTTGTAATTTTCTGTGTTTCTTTTTAGACTCATCCTAACAGGTCTGAGTGATACGTGGTTTTTTATTCGAATTTCTCCAACAGTTAGTGATGCTGAGCATCTTTTCATGTAACTGTTAGCCATTGCATGTATTATCTTTGGAGAAATACTGCAAGTCCTTTGCCCATTTTTAAGCCACGGCACCTGATTTTCTGCTGTTGAGGTGGAGGAGTTCTTTACAATAAGCCCTTATCAGATCATTTGCAAGTATTTTCTCTGCTTCTGTAGACTCCCTTTTCACTGTTCGTTGTGTCCTTTGATGCAGACAAGTTTTAAAGTTTGATGTAGTCCTATTTGTCTACTTTTGTGTCTGTGCTTTTGATGTCATAGCTAAGGAATCATCACAAAGTCCAATGTCATAGTCTTTCCCTGTGTTTTCTGTTAAGTCTTCCATTTAAGTCTCTAATCCATTGTGAGTTAATTTTATGTATTTTGTTTAAATAAGGGTCCAACTTCATTCTTTTGCCTGCATCTATCAAGTTTTCCCATGATTCATTGAAGAGACTTTTCTCCATTAAGAGGTCCTGTCATCTTGTTGAAGATTATTTGAACATATTTATGAAAAAGGCTCTCTATTCTGTTGGTCTATTTGTCAACTTTTCTATCTCTGCAAAAATGCCCCTGAAATTTTGATAGAGCTGGCATTGTGCCTTAGGGTAGTACAAACATCCTAACACAATTAAGTTCAATTCCCACACATGAGGTATCTTCCCATTTATGTCTTCCTTTAAAAAAAAAAAAAACTTTTATTTAATGAATATAAATTTCCAAAGTACAGCTTATGGATTACAATGGCTCCCCCCCCCATAACTTCCCTCCCACCCGCAACCCTCCCCTCTCCCGCTTGCTCTCCCCTTCCATTCACATGAAGATTCATTTTCAATTATCTTTATATATAGAAGATCAATTTAGTATATATTAAGCAAAGATTTCACCAGTTTGCACCCACACATAAACACAAAGTGTAAAATACTGTTTGAGGCCGGCGCCGCGGCTCACTAGGCTAATCCTCCACCTTGCGGCGCCGGCACACCGGGTTCTAGTCCCGGTCGGGGCGCCGGATTCTGTCCCAGTTGCCCCTCTTCCAGGCCAGCTCTCTGCTATGGCCAGGGAGTGCAGTGGAGGATGGCCCAGGTACTTGGGCCCTGCACCCCATGGGAGACCAGGAAAAGCACCTGGCTCCTGGCTCCTGCCATCAGATCAGCGCGGTGCGCCGGCCGCAGCGCGCCGGCCGCGGCGGCCATTGGAGGGTGAACCAACGGCAAAAGGAAGACCTTTCTCTCTGTCTCTCTCTCTCACTGTCCACTCTGCCTGTCAAAAAAAAAAAAAATACTGTTTGAGTACTAGTTATAGCATTAAATCACAATGTACAGCACATTTAGGACAGAGATTCTACATGAGGAATAAGTGCACAGTGACTCTTGTTGTTGACTTAACAAATTGACACTCTTGTTTATGGTGTCAGTAATCACCCTAGGCTCTTGTCATGAGTTGCTAACGCAATGGAGGCCTTTTGAGTTCGCCGACTCTGATCTTATTTATATGTCTTCCTTTTAAAAGATGCTTTGTAATTTTCTATATACAAGCTTTTCATCTCTGGTTTTATTCTTTGTACTGATATTATAATGGATTTTTTAAAAAGGATTTATTTATTTGCTTGAGAGGCAGAGCTACAGACCGAGAGGGAGACACAGAAAGAGAGGTCTTCCATCCGCTGGTTTATTCCCCCAAATGGCTGCAATGGCTGGAGCTGGGTTGATCTGAAGCCAGAAGCCAGGAGCTTCTTTTGCGTTTCCCATGGGGGTTGCAGGGACCAATCACTGAGTCATCTTCCTCTACTTTCCCAGACCATCAGCAGGGAGCTGGATAGGAAGTGGAGCAGGCAGGACAGCCCACATGGGATGCCGGTGCCCCAGCTACACCACAGCGCCAGCTCCTCTCCCTTATTTTTGAAGGACAATTTTGCCAGATGCAGTATTCCTGGTTGACATTTTTTTCTTTCAGTTCCTTTTTTTTTTTTTTTTTTGACAGGCAGATTTAGACAGTGAGAGAGAGAGAGAGGGAGAGAGAGAGAGAGAAAAGTCCTCCCCTCCACTAAAATGGCTGCCATGGCCAGCGTGCTGCGCCGATCCAAAGCCAAAAGCCAAGCACCCACCATGGTCTCCCACGTGAGTGCAGGGCCCAAGGACTTGGGCCATCCTCCACTGCCCTCCCGGGCCTCTGTTATTCCATTCCCTCTGCTCTGCAAAGTTTCTGCCTAGAAATCTGAGAATCATGTAGAAACTCCTTAGTATGTGCAAATCACTTTTTTTCCTTCAAGATTCTGTTTTGGTGTGTGGTGTAGCAGGTAAAGCCCACCACCTGTAGTGGTTCAAGTCCAGGCTGCTCCACTCCAATCCCACTGTCTGCTAGGGCTGGGGAAGCAGTTGGAGAGAATGGCCGAGTCTCTGGGGCCCTCTGCACCCCGCGTGGGAGAACCTGGAGAGAAGCTCTGGGCTTCCGATATCAGGTGCAGGTTCCCGGGCCATTGCAGCCAACTCGGGGGTGAACCAGCAGATGGAAGACCTCTCTCTCTCTCTCTCTGCCTCTAGCTTTCCGTAACTCTGCCTTTCAAATAAATAAACAAATCTTATTAAAAAAATTTGGTCTTTGATTTTAGACAGTTTGATTATAATATATCCTGTTGTGCTTCTTCTTGGATTTATCCGAGTTGGAATTATTTGAGTTTTTTGAGCTTGCATGTCCCTTTCCTCAGACTTGGTAAGTTTTCAGCTATTATTTCCTCAAATAAGTTCATTACACATTCTCTCTTCTGTCTCTGGGAGTCTCCTACTGCTTATGTTGGTCCACTAAATAATTTTTTTTTTTTTTTGACAGGCAGAGTGGACAGTGAGAGAGAGAGACAGAGAGAAAGGTCTTCCTTCGCTGTTGGTTCACCCTCCAATGGCCGCCGCAGCCGGCATACCACACTGATCCCAAGGCAGGAGCCAGGTGCTTCTCCTGGTCTCCCATGGGGTGCAGGGCCCAAGCACTTGGGCCATCCTCCACTGCACTCCCTGGCTACAGCAGAGAGCTGGCCTGGAAGAGGGGCAACTGGGACAGAATCTGGCGCCCCGACTGGGACTAGAACCCGGTGTGCCGGCGCCGCAAGGCGGAGGATTAGCCTAGTGAGCCACGACGCTGGCCTAAATAATGTTTTAATAGTTCCTTAGGTTCTCTTCACTTTTCTTCATGTTTTTTAACTTCCATGATCTGATGATTTCAAACGAGCTGTCAAACTTTTTTTTTTTTTTTGGGTGGAATATTTTTTATTCTCAGATAATAAATGCAAATGCACCACCCCAGGGGTGAAGCACTGAGGAAACATCTGCATCCCACAGGTTAAAAAGCCAAGCACAAGTACCATAAGAGGACCTCCTGGCACGGAGAGTTGTGAACAATTAGCCGTTCCTGTGAAAGCGGCTCCGAGACTTTCATTTTGCTATCACCACACAGCCACACTGGAAGTTCAGCCCTCTTCACAGTGCAAATATAAAAATGATCAAATTCAGGGTTTTATGGCAATCTTTTGCTAAAATATATTCTATTTCAATATACATGCTATAAAAGTATGCTGAAAAGGTCAATCTTTAGAACTCTGTTAAAATTAAGAATTTACTTTTTACATATAGAATGTACACCCAACTCTTAAAAGTATATTTGAGAAAAAAGCGTTAACTGTGACCCCAAGTTTGCTGATTCTTTTTTCTCTGCCTAATCAAGTCTGCTATTGAACTCCTCTAATGATTTTCCAATTATCGTATTTTTCAGTTTCAGAATTTTTTTGTAAGTTTCTGTCTTTGCTGAGATTCTCACTGTGTTTTGTGCATTGTTTTCCTGATTTTGCTTAGTTCTGTTTTGTTGTTGTCCTTTTTCATTTTTGTTCATTGACAATTTTCATGACAGTTTTTGCCAGGGCTCACAGATCTGCATTTTTTAGGGCTGGTTTCTAGATTCTGGTCTGTTCCTTTGATGTCAAATTTCCTTTAAATTTTATATTTCTGTGATTTACAATGTAGAACAATGTAAATATATTTAATTCCATTTAAATGTAGAAATGAATAAGATTGTTAATTCCGCTATGTGCATTTGACCCACCCTCCCAGTAAATATATTTAAAAATGTACAACACAGGAACATTTAAAAAGATTCAATAGTTAAGTTAGTTTGTCTAAACTTTTTGAGTAAACATGTTTTGTGGCTCAAATTTTCAAGTTTATTTTATTTATTTATTTTTTTAAGATTTTTATTTATTTGATAGTTGGAGTTACAGAGAGAGAAGGAGAGGTAGAGGTCTTCCATCCGCTCGTTTGCTCCACAATTGGTTGCAATGGCCGTAGCTAAGCCGATCTGAAGCCAGGAGCCAGGAGCTTCTTCCAGGTCTCCCATGCAGATGTAGGGGCCCAAGGACTTAGGCCATCTTCTGCTGCTTTCCCAGGCCATAGCAAAGGGCTAGATCAGAAGTGGAGCAGCCAGGACTTGAACCAGCACCCATATGGAATGCCGGCTCTGAAGGCGGCAGCTTTACTCACTAAGCCACAACATCAGTCCCTCAAGTTTATTTTTTTTAAATATTTATTTGAAAGGCAGAGAAAGGGGGTTAGGAGGGAGAGAGAGAAAGTGAGAGACAGAGAAAGATAAAGAGAAATATATCTTCCACTTGCTGGCTCACTCCCCAAATGCCCCAAACAGCTGAGGCTGGACCAGGCCAAGCCAGCAGTCTAGAACTCTATCTGGGTTTCCCATGTGGGTGGCAGGGGGCCAAGTACTCGGGCATTATCTCCTGCTTTTCTAGGTGCATTATCAGAGAGGGAGGTTGGCAGAGGAGCAGCTAGGATGCAAATGAACTCCAGTATGGGACACCAGCAGCAAAAGCGGTGGCTTAACCTGCTGCGCCACATCAGCCCCTCAGGGGCTTCACAGCAAAGTGTAGCCTCTGCAGTTAGGCTGGGTCAGGTTTCACTTCTGATGGTGTTTAGTCAAGGTGTCTGTGTTCCGCTGGGTGGATAAGGATTACAGTAACTATAGTGATGGTGTTTCATCCACGGACTTGTTCAAAGCCCTCTGAGCACAATGAATTAGATACTGTGTTGGATCTCAAGCTGATTTACCTCAATCAATTACAGAAGCATTAGAGATACCTGAGTATTTTATAATTTTTATATTTTATATTTTTTATAATATTTTAATTGGATTTTAATAAATCCGGAGAAATTATGTTTTACTTACTATTAAGAACAGGCTGGTTACTTGGAATATTTATAAATTTGTCAGAATGTAAAAAAATGTTCCACTCTTTTTCTGGTAGAAATCCAATGCCATCACTCATTGTATTTGCATTAGTATTGTTTTGCATGATTGCAGCGCAAAGCCGAAAGGAAAAACAAAGTTTATGTTGATCAAATAGAGCAGATGAAACCACCTACAAGGAGAATACAAGCACTAGACTAACACAGCTAGATCATATAAGTACACAAAATTCACATTAAAGAAATATCTCACCTTAAAAATACTTCTTGTCAACACATCGATAGTATTTTCAATATACCTGTCTCGGGCATTTTTCTCACTTCCCGTGTTAGGTTCCTTTGAGATATTTGTAATCTCACCAACTTTTTTCAGAGAAATTTTCTTCTTTCTCAAACTATGTTCTTGCTCTTTGTTTGTATAAACTATGGATGACACAAAAGCCTGCCGGAACCAGTCCAGGGAGAAGCGGTACAGGGAGCTGATCTGTTCGAGGTCGGCCACGAGGAAGTAGAGCAGGGCCCCGCGGGTAGCGATAGGGAGATAGTTTTCACGCAGGGCCTGGATTTCGTCTTCTGCTTTCTCCGTTGCTTTCATGTGCTTTAATGTTTCATTTGACATCATTTTGGATTTTCTTAAGGAAGCCACAACTTCCTCATCGTCTAATACGCATTCTAAAGATAAACAGAAAGTGATTTAAATAAAAACTGTTGTTATATGAAACGGCTGTTTCCTCATTCTGTGCACTTTGTGTACGGTGTTTACTGTTGGCTTCTGGTTGGTGACGTATAGAAGGTAAACCCTTAAGTGAAGGTAGGCTGAATTTCTAATAAGCTTCATTAATGGCACACGTGCCCCACTTCTCCCTTCCTCGTCTCTTCTTCCTATCACTTTAGCATTTGTGGATTCTATTTTCTTTAAGGCATGTGATAAGCAGCCATTCTGTCTAATAGGAATACATTTACACTATGACCCACTATACACAGACAATATTAAAATACATTTTCTAGAAAGTAACAAGCACATCCTTTCTTCATATAATGTCCTTTGATGTTTTGTATTGCATTCTATTTCTTTTTTTTAATATTTATTTATTTGAGAGGTAGAGTTATAGACAAAGAGAGGGAGAGACAGAGAGAAAAGCCTTCCTGTTGCTCCCCCTCTTCGCGGAGGAACGACACTAAACCCTGCCTAGGCTTCCTATCCGAGTCACGGCACCATTATGTCGCTCCCCCTCTTCGTGGAGGAACGACACAGGACCCTGCGCTGTTCTTTCGTCTGCTCGGCCCTCCCCGGGTTTGCTGCTGGTTCTTCCCGGGTTGGCTACTGTCCCTTCCACCTCCGTGGAAGGGCGGTTCCCCCTGCCACCTTCCCCACTTCCGCGGGGGAGCGGCACACCGCCGGCCGGCTCTCTCGGGGGCTGCACAGGTGTTCCCCTTAGATGTTCCTCGTAGATGTTCCTGGTGCATGTTGTCTCTCTCCTCCTTTATAGTCCTCCTCCGCCAATCCCAACTCGGCTGCCCACACGCCGAGAGTACGCTGCTCTCCTCCAATCAGGAGCAGGATCAGCTCCTGGAGGTCATCACTCAAGTTGGCAAGAGGCAGCTGCGTAGAAGCTGTTTTCTCCTCTCCCAGCGCCATATTGTGGGAGAGCAGATGCATAGAACAAGTCTTAATTCCAGTAACTCAGTCCAGTCCGGGTTGCTCCCCACACCTTCCACCTGCTGGTTCACTTCCCAGATGGCCGCAACAGCCAGAGCTGGGCTGATCCAAAGCCAGGAGCCAGGAGCTTCTTCCAGGTCTCCCACATGGGTGCAGGGGCCCAAGAACGTGGACCATCTTCTGCTGCTTTCCCAGGCCATAGCAGAGAGCTGGATCAGAAGTGGAGCAACAGGGATATGAACCAGTGCCCATATGGGATGCTGGGGCCACAGGTGGAGGCTTAGCATTCTGTTTTCTTAAACAAACAAAGCTAATCGTGACCAATGAAACTGATTTCTCCAGCCATTAATGAGTTGCAATTTACCTTTTTGAAAAAGGACTGCTCTAGACAAATGGGTAATAATTCCACACCTTTAAGATGGCTCTCAGATTACCATGATAAAATACTCTATTTTATGTGTTAAACACTCCTATTTTCTTCAATTGTGATTTTTTTTTTGGTGATACTATTTTTAGGTTCCTCCCCATCCTTGAGGTTAAGGGTACATGTTAGTTTGAAAAGAGCATTCTTGAAATGCGGCAACCAGAAGTAAAGTATTTCAGGTGATATGACCATTGCAAGACAAAATGGGATTATTATAAGTTTGTATTTCATAATCTGGATATCATATTCTTATTGATGTAGGTGAAGCTTTTGATGTAATATTTTTATTACACTGAGACAGTTTTGCTTTTTAAAGGAAATTAGGTTTTAATTCATCTAGCTAAAGCATCAGCTAACACTGGGTTCCTATCCCAGACTATCAGCCAAATAATATTTAATTAGCAGTGACCATTAGAATTGTGTGGGAAATTTAAAAATAAGCACAAGCCAGGGTCTCTTCTACAGAAGTTCAGATCAGTAAATCTGCAGTTATTTTTAAAAAGAAAGAAAATACAATAAACTGAACAGCTGATTCCTACTCATACCCTTAATTGAGAACCAAAGTGATGAAGAAAATTTCAAGTCCCAGTTAAAGAAAATAGGTCAAAATAGAAAAGCCATCTCCTGCTACCGTGGGTTACTCACATTTTATCCCAGTTGAGTTGGGGCGCATGCCCCATACCACTGCGTACTAGAGAGCCATGTTTATTTGTTTAGTTGCCAGATAGGCTACGATTTCTTATTTCTTGGATGTTTCTTGGGGTGAAGTGGAAAATAATTTCTAAAGCTATTTTAACAAACAGCATATTCTTATGGATACATAAAAGTCACAGGATTGTTGTTACTTAAAAGATCTTTTAGTCAGGGAAGACATACTCTTCTGGTTTGTGTAATTTAACTTGGGACATACAACAGATTCAGGTGCCTGGACCCCAGGAGAGGACTAACCAGCCTCACTAAGACCTGTCTTACAATTCACGCTGACTGTCTGGTGAGCAAGTCCAAGCAAAGGTGGGAGCCGAGGAACAGCACAGCTGACAGCACTGAAGCCCAGACACGCAGTGGTTCTCCCACAGCCGTAAGTTATCTGGAAGAAATGCACACTTGGTGTTGTGGGTACCAATTCAGAAGCCAGCCCTCAGGGATGGCACTGTGGCGTAGCGAGTGAGGCCGCCACCTGCAGTGCTTTCATCCCATATGTCCGCCGGTTCGAGTCCTGGCTGCTCCACTTCCAATCCAGCTCTCTGCTGCGGCCTGGGAAAGCAGTGGAAGATGGCCCAAGTCCTTGGGCTCCTGTACCCGCATGGGAGACTGGAGGAAGGTCCTGACTTCAGATCAGCACAGCTCCGGCCGTTGTGGCTGATTGGTGAGTGAACCAGCATATAGAAGACCCCTCTCTCTTTCTTTCTCTCTCTCTCTCTCTCTCTCTGCCTCTCCTTCTCTCTCTGTATAACTCTTTCAAATAAATACATAACTCTAATTAAAAAAAAAAAAAAGCCAGTCCTCGTAACTCTTCATTCTGGCCTGCACAAAGGTCTCTTCGAGTCACTCGGTATCAGGACTCACCTTGTGCTTTCTGCAGTAAATTTAAGGTTCTGTCGTCCAGCTCCTCAAGAGTTAGGATGTCCAGGGAGATAGTCTGCAGTAACTGGTAGCGCTGACTTTCTAAGTGAGGGACCTCGTGACTCACTACTGTGGATAGGAGCTGGTCTTCCAAGCCTTGGAACGTGATCGTGAAGTTGATGACAGTGACGAAGTCATAAATGGATGGAAGGAAGCAGGGGTTATCTATTGCTGTAGATAAGTACAACCTAAACATGAGGGAAGGGCCGGTTACTCGAAGAACACACACACACAAAATGAAATGAAACCAACTTGTATAACAGTACACAAATATTTTTCCAGACGTAGACAAGACTAATTTTTAGTGTTTTTCAGCCTTGTACACAAAGGATGCTCTAATTTTCTATTAAGGCTGTAAAAAGTACAACTATACATTAAGTCCATATTATACTTGGTTTAAGCATAAGGACAGAGTAAAGAACATGTGAAACAGTACCATCCTGCTCCTAGCTTGTACAGCCCAGTGAGTTCCTTTCTGCTTATGGCTCCAACTATCGTCTCCTCATTGCTGTTGGCACACACACTAGACAAGGACCCTGGGATGCTCGGGCATGGCAGCAGCTCCTTGTAAAGGCTGTGCTTTAGCCCCGAGCAGGTGAGAAGCCATCGGAGGGATCTGAGTACGAGGGTGGCGCCATCGTTTTAGGCCGCATCTCTTCAGCTGCCTCTTAAGACCAGCCCGTGCAGCCGGGGAGCAGGATGTGCAAGATGAATGAGAAGGTGAGAACTGATGGTGGCTGGGAGCCGGGCGTGGCCAGGGCGAGCAGCGAGCAGTGGTCAGATTCTCGCATCCCGTTTAGCTTATAAAGCAACCACATGAAGCAGGTACACTGCTTCCTTCTGCTGTGTAAAGGATGAAGTGGAAGCTTGGAGGGGCTGAGCAGGTACCCCCTGTGCCCAGCCAGAAACGGACAGTGAAGGAGTGAAGGTCTGTTCTGAAACAGTGCCCCCTACCACCCCTACAGGCACACGTTTCTCTTTTCTGAGATTTATTTATTTGAGAGGCAGAATTGGGCGGGGAGGGGGAGGGGGGTATCTTCCATCCACTGGTCACTCTCCAGATCACTACAACGACTGGCGCTGGACTGATCTAAAGCCAGGAACTTCTTCTGGGTCTCCCACGTGGGTGCAGGGGCCCCAAGCACTTGGGCCGTCTTCACTGCTTTCCCAGGCCACAGCAGAGAGCTGGACTGGAAGAGGAGAAGCTGGGACATGAACCACCACTGCAGGTGGAGGCTTAACTTACTATCCACAGCTCCGGCCCATAGCACAAGTTTCTAACAGGGGGCCCAGGTTCAGTTCAGGAAAATACCGCTTCATTAGCCTTTCTAGAACTGTTGCTTATCATCCTCGTTCTATCCAGTGAGAACCAAATAATGGGTCAATGTGCTGTTTTCCAAAGTATACTCTATGTAACAGGACTTTCTGGAAAAGGGCTCAGTGAATAAAGGGATTTTTAAATCCTCTAGGAAATCTGACGATCTCTGGTTTTGACAACATGGGATTCATTTGTTGAGTTATGTCTTGAGTAATGTTTCATTAACTGAAGGGAGGAGACTGAAGCGGGACTTCTAAGAAGAATTTGGTGAGCGACTCTGCAGCCCTCCCAGGGGAGAGGACAGCATGACCAGCAGACTTACGAAGCAGACCCTCTTAGACAGGAGTCACCGCCAAGAAGCAAGACGCAGCGGGCTGGGACCAGCACGGCAGCACAGCGGTTAGGCCACCACTTGCAACGCTGGCGTCCCATAGCAGAGTGCTGGTTTGAATCCTGGCTGCTCCACTTTTGATCCAGCTCTCTGCTGTGGCCTGAGAAGGCAGCGGAAGATGGCCCAAATGTCTGAGCCCCTACTAACCACGTGGAAGACCCAGATGGAATTCCTGGCTCCTGGCTTTGGCCTTGCCCAGCCCTGGCCATTGAATACTCTCATTTGGGGAGTAAACCAGCAGGTGGAAGATCTCTTCATCACTTTGACTTTCAAACAAACAAACAGATAAATAAGCCTTTTAAGGAACTGTAGTAGGCTAAGGATCATTAAAATCTTCCAGTTTCCCTTACTGAGTCCCTGCTTACCCAGAAATCCTCTGATTATGAATTGTCTGCCTGCAACTTTGCCTACAAGGAGAGAAGGCACATGAGCAACAGCTTCAGTGGCCCTTTTGCTTGGGAGCCTGGTGTGGAGGTGATCGCATCTGACTACACTTGTGCTTTGTAAAGCCGGCTGCGGGCGGTCCTTTCCTGGAGAGGGCCGTGGCTGCTGGGAACGCTGGCACAGTGTTTGGATCCCTCAAGGCAGAACCCCTTTTGCTCTAGAGTTAAACAGGGACTCTGGTGTTTAGAGCAGCAACAGCTTTTCCCTCCCGAGCACAGTGTCAGCCAGCCCAGCTCCCGCGAAGCAGTGGCGCCAGAGTGTTCTCAGAGCCCAGGGCTCTCATCAGGTGTAGTCCGACAAGTGCTGATTCACAGTGATCTGATGGATGAAAACACGTTCTCTGCTCTGTGGTCTGAGGAGCTCTACGGCCAACACACACACACACACACACACACACACGAATACTGAAAATGCAAACTCACTTTTTCTTCAGATCGAAACTCAGGACTGAAACACAAGGTCTCCAGTATTATTTGTTTAAAAATACAGCCATTTCTGTGCACAACATTACCTAAAGTTGGAATTGTATTCCACCTCCGAATTGCCAATCTTTATGAAGTACTGTCTTCTTCTCTGATAAATCTCCTTCTTCAAAATTGCCTCTAAGCCAGGAGCTAATGTTTCAGGGAGATTCTGAGAACAAACAAACAATAGATGTAATTAAGAAAAATCATCTTAAATAAGCTGAGCAGACACAGGATTGAAATGCTAAAATCTTAATATCTGCAGAGCGGTGAGACAGCTCCAAGACAACCGGACACTGAAAACTCACCTTACGGTGTCCCTATGTATGTATTCACCATGTTTCTCCCTGACAAAGTTACCCACCACTTACAACTCCTACTTTTTATGCACACAACAGATGTGTCAACTGCATGGAAAGAGGGAACAACGTTCTGCTGCTCAAATACCTGCAGGAGGACACTTCCTCCCATTTTCATGGCATTTTCAATCTTTTTAGTGTAACTGCTGTCCTCAACGGAGAGCTCCTGCAGTTTGTACCCTTCCATCCGGCGGATCCAGTTGTACGCTTGCTTGTGTGGGTCGATCAGCAGAGGCCACTGCTGGCTGTTCTTGATCATGATGGCATTCTCTGTGGAATACCAACCAAGAGGCAGCCCCTGATTATGCCACCGGTAGATCTGGAATGAAACAATAAACGCTTGCACAGTTTCATAAACTTCATGCTGTTAGTATCCTATGGAGTACTAGAGGATCCTACAAGATCATTGCGTTTACAAGAAAAAAAATCAAACAGTCTTCCAAAGGACTAAGGAAATGAACTGAAAGCAAACTGGACATGGAATTTTTGGCAAGGTTCTGCAGGAGACACAAAAGAAGTGTAAGATACAGTATCTGTTTCTAGGGCTCTGTATCTCAACTTCACAGATAAAACATGAAACAACATAAAATTATTAGAAAAGAGAAACCAGCTGTTTCATTTCACGTCCACTGCTTGTCCAAGCACACAGATGTTAGATTACCTAGTTAACCTTGACAAGCCCAGTTTCCCTGGGGGGGTGGGGGGGAGACTGAGGCTAAAAGAGGCTAGATATGTAGATGCCTACAGTCTACCATCAGGAGCCGAGGCAGAGCTAGGTTTTGGTTCAGCAGCTCACTCCAGCCGTGATCAACTTCTCATTGTTCCTTCCTTATCCCTTTCATGGCCTCTTTCTTCCTGTCTTTCCTGTTTCATGCCAGTATTAGCAGGTTGAGAGAAAAAGCCCAAGAAGGTCCATGAAAACAGGAGAAAGAACAGCAGGGAACCTTCCAGTGAAAGCCAGTAGGCACCTCCCCGAAGAATCCAGAATCACATTTTCGCTCTGGGCAGAGAAAAATGCTTTTGTTTAAGCCTATGTTGGGCTAAAAGGAAACAGGAACAACGATGATGAATCCTGAAAAGTATAAGGACACCTACTGGTTGGTGTGGAGATTGCACCTGAATACAAGCAAAGAGGTTGGCGAGGTGAGAGAATACATCCTGAGCCCCACAGGGCTTCTATTTTCAAAAGCAAACCATTCTCCTGCCTTTTATACTTCTCATTACCATTTTATCTAAGTATATACTCCTAAATATTACAGTCCATTTTTGCTCAATTTTTGAACCTTGCATAAATGGAAATTAAACACCTGATTTTGTATCTGGCTTTATCTGAGATGTCATGTAGCTAATATTTGTTCATTCTCATTGCCCCAGAGTTACTCCACTTGATGAATATACCAATAATTTGCTCATCCATTCTACTTTGGAAGGCACTTGGACTATTTCAAGTTTTTGGCTATTATGCATCGCACTAGAGTGAATTTTTTTTTACACATTTATTGATCCATTATGTATACTATTCTGTTAGGTAAAAAACTAAGAGTGGGATGTTAGGTAATTGAGTATGTACATTTTTAATATTAACAGCTAATATCAGCTTTCTTAAAAAATGGCTGTAGCATTTTATATTCTCAACACATCCTTGCTAACTCTTGTAGCTGCATTGTGGTACCTCAATTTGGATTTAATTTGCATTCCCCTAAGAAACCCTAAAGTGAGTTCAGGCACCTCCCTTTGTTTACTGGCTGTTTGGCTATGCTCTTCCGTGAGCTATCTTCTCAAGGCTCTTGCCCATTATACATTGGGTTGCATGTTCTTTGCTTCTGAACCTGTAGTTGTTCTTTCTGTAATCTGGATAGGGTCCCTTGCTGAAATACACATTACAAATATCCTATCTTACTCTTTGGCTTGTCTTCATATCACTGCATGACAGAGGGTCTACACTTTAATGTAATCCCATTAAATCATCAAATGTTTTCCTTTAAGTATAGTATTGTTCAAGAAATCTTTTCTCTCCTAAACTATGCATTATTAATTAGTCTTTCCCATTTAGGTACACAATTCAACTGCAATCTAGTTTTTGTATGCAGTATGAAGTAATGGTTGCTTTCCTTTTTTTTTGACAGGCAGAGTAGACAGTGAGAGAGAGAGAGAGAGAGAGAGAGAGAGAGAGAAAGGTCTTCCTTTGCCGTTGGTTCACCCTCCAATGGCCGCCGTGGCTGGCGCTGATCCGAAGGCAGGATCCAGGTGCTTCTCCTTGTCTCCCATGGGGTGCAGGGCCCAAGAACCTGGGCCATCCTGGGGCAACCGGGACAGAATCCAGCGCCGCGACCGGGACTAGAACCCGGTGTGCCGGCGCCGCAAGGCGGAGGATTAGCCTATTGAGCTGCGGCGCCGGCTATGCTTTCCTTTCAAGGAATGAACATTTAATTAGCCAGCAATATTTGTTGAAAAGACTTCCCATTTCCTATTGTACTGCAGGGCGCCTTTAGCTATAGCAAATGTCCTTGTATGTGTAGGTCTGTTTCTGAGCTCCTGTTTCTGCTCCACTGGGGTAGTCGTTTATCTTTGCCTTTGCACGTGCATGGACAAACAATTCCACTGGTTCTAATTATTGCAGCTTTAAAGTACATCTAGATACTGGACATCTTGATGTTGATTTTTCATCAGCATTGTCTTTTCTTACTACATTGAGAATTGGCTTGTTAAGTTACACACACACACACACACAGCTGAGATGCTGACCAGGATTATACTTGAGTAGTAGATCAATTGGAAAGAACTGGTAATGTCAGATTATTGAGTCTTCCAATGCCTGGATGTGATAAAATCATTTACTTAACCTCTTAAATTGATTTTATTATTTTATAAGTTTTCTTTCTATAAATTTTGTATATCTTTTGATAAATTAATTACAAAATTTTTTATAATTTATTTTCATTTATTCAAAAAGCAGAGACAGAGATCTCCCCTCTGCTGGTTCACTCCCCAAATGCTTGCAACTGACAGGGCTGGGACAGGTTAAAGCTAGGAGCCAGGAACTCAATCTGGATCTCCCATGTGGGTGGTAGGGACCTAAGTACTTGAGCCATCACCCATTGCCTCCCAGGGTGCACACTAGCAGGAAGCAAGGTTGAAGCGTAGGGCCAGGACTGAATCCAGGCACCCCAGTATGGGATGTGAGTGTCCCAAGTGGTGGCTTAATTGTTGTGCTAAGCACCCACGTGGCTTCAGTTTTGTTCTTTGGCTTATAATGTTTTATAGTGTTACAATCTTAGGCTTTTAATTGGAGCATTTAGTCTGTTTATATTTAATGTAATTACTGATACATTTGAGTGTAAACTGGTTACTAGCATTGCCATGATGAGAAACGAATATTCGTTTTTGAGATTTTATAGGTGGGTTGTCTACTTAAGAAGATTTATCAGCAGAGAAATGAATCAGGAATTACTCTGAGGATGAAAAAAGTAGGTGCATGTTTTTTATCTTCTAAACACTAGCATAGAAGTTACACAATAGTAACTATTGACAGATTGACAAATGTAGGTCTATATTTTTGGTTGTGTCTAAGAATACTCCCTATTGTTAAGTAAGCTCACCAATTTTACTAATTAAAGGTATTTCAGGGAGAGAAATTTAGCACTACTCATTAGGACAGGGTAGTAGGATTACAATGGGAAAAATAATATTTTGTAAATTTTGCCTAGAGTCTGAGTAACAGGCGAGAGAGATATAACTGAGACATTAGAACTGCAAGTTAGGGGCCAGTGCTGTGGCTCAGTGGCTTAACGCCCTGGCCTGAAGCGCCAGCATCCCATATGGGCGCCGGCTCTAGTCCCAGCTGCTCCTCCTCTGATCCAGCTCTCTGCTATGGCCTGGGAAAGCAGTAGAAGATGGCCCAAGTCCTTGGGCCTCTGCACCCATGGAGACTCAGAAGAAGCTCTTGGCTTCAGATCGGTGCAGCTCCGGCCATTGCAGCCATCTGGGGAGTGAACCAGTGAATGGAAGACCTCTCTCTCTGTCTCTACCTATCTCTGTAATTCTTTTAAGTAAATAAAATAAATCTTAAAAAAAAAAAAAAGAACTGTAAGTTAAAAAAAAATTATGGTCCGGAACAAACTTCAGTATTTCCACTTATCAAAATAATTTGACGAACATATCTAAGACAAAAACCACACAAACATCCAAAATCCAAACCAACAGCAGTCATTTAACTGGATACTTAAAATAGGTTACTACCTCATATTTTTGTGCCATGACTTCAATTAAAGAAAAGTTGGAAGACAAAGCAATGTTGTTTTCAACACACAAAGCCTCCCATTTTTTCACAATCAACTGGCGAAACGCTGGTGTTAGAACTCCAGTGTATACGATGCATGCTGCTGAAAGAAGAAGGTCGCCCCAAACACTCTCCAATTTGCTGTCTAATTGATCGATTGTTTCTTGCCATCGAGCCTAAGTGTAAAAACACAAGTGAGTTTTTCATATAAAAATACTATTTCGGCACATTTTTTACTATCAGACTATTTTTAAAAAATCATTTTAGTATTTATTATTATGACACATCTATTATTTTTAAAAATTAATAGTCTCCAGCTTAGGTCTATCATTGTTAACACCACCACTGCTCTCAAGCTGTAATGTATAAACATTAATGATGGATAGTATTAGGAGCCGGTGCCTTGGTACAGGGGGTTAAGCTGTCGCCTGTGACGCCGACACGGCCATATGAGCACTGGTTGGAGTACGACTATCCCACTTCCCACCCAGCTCCCTGCTAATGCGCTTAGGAAAGCAGCAGAGGATGGCCCAAAACCCTGGGCCCCTGCCCCAACATGGGTGACCTGGATAGAGTTCCTGACTCCTGGCTTTGGCCTGGTCAGCCCTGGCCACTGTGGCCATTTGGGGAGTGAATCAGCAGATGGACGATCTCTCTCTCCTAACTCTGCCTTTCAAATAAATAAATACATCTTTAAAAAATGGATAATATTTAAAAATGAACTGTTTTCTGAGGGGAACACCAGTCTTGTTCTTGTGTTTTTCAATATTGTTATTTTTGTTAAGATAGATATATAGCCATTTAAAATATTTTATGTAATAAACAGGATAATTTTGTGAATATCAATTTGTTATCTATTAATGGTGTTCAACAACAATATAGCTAAGTGTTTATCGAATCTTTACTCATCTCCCAGATCCTTCGCTTTGAAAATCTCATTTCATACTTTCAGTAAAATGTTAACTGAGTATCACTGATTTTTTTTTTTTTTTTTTTTTTTACCGGCAGAGTAGACAGTGAGAGAGAGAGAGAGAGAGAGAGAGAGAGAGAGAGAAAGGTCTTCCTTTGCTGTTGGTTCACCCTCCAATGGCCGCCACTGCGCTGATCCGAAGGCAGGAGCCAGGTGCTTCTCCTGGTCTCCCATGGGGTGCAGGGCCCAAGTACTTGGGCCATCCTCCACTGCACTCCCGGGCCACAGCAGAGAGCTGGCCTGGAAGAGGGGCAACCAGGACAGAATCCGGCACCCCAACCGGGACTAGAACCCGGTGTGCCGGCGCCGCAAGGCGGATGATTTGATTTTAAGATGAAGGACTTGAAGCTTAGAGAAGTTGAAACAACCAACTCTGGATCACAAAGCTTCTGAGACTGTAGCTAGCACTGAACTCATGTCCTCAGCTGGACAGCCTCCCTCTTCAATCATCTAAGGACTTACTTAGGCAACAAATAAAGTATGTTGCTAAGAACTCCCTCTGCTGGAAGCTTAAAATCTGGGATAATGTGGTGTTCCACTGCCCCGGGGGCATCATCCAACTTTTGAGGGCCATCATTTCCCTTTTAAAAAAAAAGGTTTATTTATTTTCATCTACTTTAAAGAGAGAGAGAGAGAGAGAGAGAGAGAGATCAATCTTCCATTTGCTCACTCACTCCCTAAATGCAACAGTTGCGGCTGGGCCAGGCCAAAATCAGGAGCCCAGAACTCTATCTGGGTCTCCCATGTGGGTGCAGGGGCCCGAGTACTGAGCCGTCATGCACTGTCTCCCAGGTGCATTAGCAGGAAATGGGATTGGAAGCAGGGCACCTGGCACACTGACAATGGATGCAGTGTCTCAAGAGGCGGCTTAACCCACTGCGCCATAATACCCACCGCAGCCTCCCTTTGATGTGCATGATTATATCTGTAATCTTCCTTCTCTGTGTCCTGTAAGAACCTTCTGTGCTAGGCACTTATTCAAACAATTACACTAAATTAAAACAATCTTGACAATTTTCTAACATTCTTTGAAGTAGTCGAGGTGTAACTAAACCCATATTCTGGTCATTCTACTGGGGATTCAAATATAGGACAGATGGATTAGAAGGGAAATAAAGCTGATGAGAAAAGGGGTGGGGGGGAAATCTCTATCCTAACGACTTTTCCTCCCTTGTGGCCTCACCACGTTGCATACATTCCACTTGGGTTGTGCCAGTGCTAGTGAGGGTAAACCTCAGGAAATATTCATTGAAAGCTTTATTCTAGGGGCTGGCACTGTGGCACAGCAGGTTAACACCCTGGCCTGAAGTGCCAGCATCCCATATGGGCGCCGGTTCAAGACCGGCAGAGTGGACAGTGAGAGAGAGAGAGACAGAGAGAGAAAGGTCTTCCTTTGCTGTTGGTTCACCCTCCAATGGCCGCCGCTGCAGCCGGCGCACCGCGCTGATCCTGGCAGGAGCCAGGAGCCAGGTGCTTCTCCTGGTCTCCCATGGGGTGCAGGGCCCAAGCACCTGGGCCATCCTCCACTGCACTCCCTGGCCATAGCAGAGAGCTGGCCTGGAAGAGGGGCGACCGGGACAGAATCCGGCGCCCCAACCGGGACTAGAACCCGGTGTGCCGGCGCCGCAAGGCGGATGATTTGATTTTAAGATGAAGGACTTGAAGCTTAGAGAAGTTGAAACAACCAACTCTGGATCACAAAGCTTCTGAGACTGCAGCTAGCACTGAACTCATGTCCTCAGCTGGACAGCCTCCCTCTTCAATCATCTAAGGACTTACTTAGGCAACAAATAAAGTATGTTGCTAAGAACTCCCTCTGCTGGAAGCTTAAAATCTGGGATAATGTGGTGTTCCACTGCCCCGGGGGCATCATCCAACTTTTGAGGGCCATCATTTCCCTTTTAAAAAAAAAGGTTTATTTATTTTCATCTACTTTAAAGAGAGAGAGAGAGAGAGAGAGAGAGAGATCAATCTTCCATTTGCTCACTCACTCCCTAAATGCAACAGTTGCGGCTGGGCCAGGCCAAAATCAGGAGCCCAGAACTCTATCTGGGTCTCCCATGTGGGTGCAGGGGCCCGAGTACTGAGCCGTCATGCACTGTCTCCCAGGTGCATTAGCAGGAAATGGGATTGGAAGCAGGGCAGCTGGCACACTGACAACGAATGCAGGTGTCTCAAGAGGCGGCTTAACCCACTGCACCACAATACCCACCGCAGCCTCCCTTTGATGTGCATGATTATATATGTAATCTTCCTTCTCTGTGTCCTGTAAGAACCTTCTGTGCTAGGCACTCATTCAAACAATTACACTAAATTAAAACAATCTTGTCAATTTTCTAACATTCTTTGAAGTAGCAGAGGTGTAACTAAACCCAGATTCTGGTCATTCTACTGGGGATTCAAATATAGGACAGATGGATTAGAAGGGAAATAAAGCTGATGAGAAAAGGGGTGGGGGGAATCTCTATCCTAACGACTTTTCCTCCCTTGTGGCCTCACCATGTTGCATACATTCCACTTGGGTTGTGCCAGTGCTAGCGAGGGTAAACCTCAGGAAATATTCATTGAAAGCTTTATTCTAGGGGCTGGCATTGTGGCACAGCAGGTTAACACCCTGGCCTGAAGTGCCAGCATCCCATATGGGCGCCGGTTCAAGACCCGGCTGCTCCACTTCCGATCCAGCTCTCTGTTGTGGCATGGGAAAGCAGTAGAAGATGGCCCAAGTCCTTAGGCCCCTGCACCCGCATGGGAGACTGGAAGAGGCTCCTGGCTCTTGGCTTCCGATTGGCACATCTCTGGCCCTTGTGGCCAATTGGGGAATGAACCATCGGATGGAAGACCTCTCTCTCTGCCTCTCCTCTCTCTATAACTCTTTCAAATAAATAAATAAAATCTTAAAAAAAAAAAAAAGAAGAAAGCTTTATTCTGGGCTGCATCAGACAAAAGCATGCTGATGTCTTTGGACCAAGAGATAACAATCTCAGGTCTTCGTAGTCTGTTGCTTCTGTTTTAAGACTACTCAAACTGAATACCTTCACCTTATGTAAGACTTTTTATTGATCTCAATAGGGAATTGGACAGTAAGACGGCTTAGGGAGGTCTGTGAGGCAGCCTACAGGGAGAGTAACATCTTGGGGTTTGTGGAACTCAGTAGATGTTAGTGGAGGAGGTACAAGGTCAAGGGCAATCATGCCTTCTCTTCTTCCAGGACAGTTGGCAAGATGGATGCACACTGCAAGCGCCTGGTGGCCACTTTTCTCCAATTCACTAACTGCTGTTTTTCAGCAATAATGTTTTCGTAGGTGGCCTGCAACAACACCAAGTGGTCCTCAATCTGAAAGACAATTACTTAGTAATTGAGAAAAAATCTGATTCTCAGTTTCTTCAGGAGTTTATCTGTCATCTGTATAAAGAGTTTTAACCACGTCATAGGCACATTCTGAACAACCTTCCCAGATATGGTATATTTCCAATCAAAGTGTACACTGTAGGAATGAGATGATTCCTTGGATACTGAGATGGCATTTTAAAACACCACCTTTCTTCCTTAACAGGCTGAAAATCCTAGTATTTGAAGGTTCTCAGTGATTTTTCAAAGAAAAATTTATATACACTTAGATGCTTTCTCTAAGAAAACAGCTGAATTTTTTCACCCCATATACATTGAGCAGACCAGAGGGATGAATGAATTTTTGAAATCCTGCTGATAAGAGAAACCAACTGTAAACTAGTTCTAGAACTTCAGTGGGAACTATGTTTTAATAAATAGCATTTGCTGAAATCTTACATAAACAGTTGAGTAGGGACAGAGTCCAAAGTTTTGGTCTTGTCAAGAAAGCCTGCACATGGAGCCCACACTGTGGCGTAGCAGGTAGGGCTGCCGCCTGCAGTGTCAGCATCCCATTATCGGCTGTCCGCTTCTGATCCAGCTCTCTGCTATGGTGTGGGAGAGTGGTAGAGGATGGCGCAAGTCTTTATACCCCTGCACTTGCGTCGGAGACAGAAGCAGCTCCCGGCTTCGGATCAGGTGAGCTCCAGCCATTGCGGCCATTTGGGGAGTAGACTAACAGATGGAAGACTCCTGTTTCTCTACCTCTACCTATGCCTCTCTAACTCTGCCTTTCAAATAAATAAATAAATCTTAAAAAAAAAAAAAAAAAAAAAAGGCTGCACCAACTGACCCCAATCTGCGGTCCTGATTTCATCTTCGTTACCCTGTTCCAAATATGTCACTCTCAGTCAAACTGATTCATCCCCCATCTGCTAAGTTTCCCTTAAGTATTCCTGTCTCTGGGATTTGGCTCATATCCTTTATGTTTGGACTCTTCCCTTAAAAAATGTAAATTCTAGTATTTGTTATCTTGGTCAGCTTCCAGGTCTTGGGAAATCCCAGGCTTGTCACATTCACAATGATGATTATAACAGTTGTTTGAGAAATAATTAATTGCCTGATTATCTCTTGAGTTGTGGCTTTGCAGGCTTACTAACCTTTATACTCATATTTTTGAAAGTTTTTTTTAAAGATTTATTTATTTGAAAGTCAGAGTTACACAGGGAGAAGGAGAGGCAGAGAGAGGTCTTCCATCCACTGGTTAACTCCACAAATGGCTGACATGGCTGGAGCTGCGCCAACCCAAAGCCAGGAGCCAGGAACATCCTCTGGGTCTCCCACACGGGTGCAGGGGCCCAAGGACTTGGGCCATCTTCTACTGCTTTCCCAGGCCATAGCAGAGAGCTGGATTGGAAGTAGAGCAGCTGGGTCTCGACCGGCACCCACATAGGATGCCAGCACTGTAGGCAGCGGCTTAACCCGCTGTGTTATGTATCAATGTTAGTCATTGCAAAGCACACCGGACACTGGAGTAAGGGAATGGGTTTATTGGGGAACACCCTACAGACCGGAGTGAAGGGGCGGCAAAGGAAAAAGAGAAAGAGAGTATAAGAGAGAGAAACAGAGAGGAGAGGAGCTAGCAAGGAGAGAAGATAGAGCAGAGGAGAGAGGAGAGCAGAGCCAAGAGAGAAGAACCAAGAGCCAAGAGAGCACAGGAGAGAAGGACCGAGAGAGCACGTGTTCAGGAACAGGCCCTTTTAAAACTTTGCCTGAGGATGGGCAGGGAAGCAGGAGCAGCGAATCCCATAAGGATGGGGGTGGAGCCTGGCTCAGGTAGCTGGGCAATGCAGCCACCTGGCTAAAACTGCCCCAGTTTCCTAATACGCTGTGCCACAGTGCTGGCCCCAGAAAGATTTTTATGTCTTTTTAAAATCCTTAAAGATAGGGCTTACCATGGAAACTTGAGACTTGAACACAGTATACACAATTATATAGATAAAATTTTGCTATTTTACTATAAAATTATAGTACAATTTAACTATAATTTGTAATTTCTCCTATTTTTAAGATGTTATTGTGATTTTTTCCTGTATATTTAATTTTTACAAAAATATGAAGGTACTTCAAAAATGTTATAGAAATTGAAATTAAAAGATAATTTTTAGTGCAAAAATTTTTTGAGATCTATACATATGAGGGGTGTTTAAAAAGTTCATGGAGGGGCCAGCACTGTGGCATGGTAGGCTAAGCCTCTGCCTGTGGCACTGACATCCCATATGGGTGCCGGTTCCTATCCTGGCTGCTCTTATTCTGATCCAGTTCCCTGCCTGTAGCCTAGGAAAGAAGTGGAAGATGGTCCAAGTGCTAGGGCCCGACACCCACATGGGAGACCTGGATGGAGTTCCAGCCTTGACTATTGTGGGCATTTGGGGAGTGAACCAGCAGATGGAAAATCTTTCTCTCTCACTCTCTCTGTTGCTGTGCCTCTCAAATAATTTTTATACAAATATGTGGTAGAGTTCTACATATAGTATCGATATTATTTACTTAATCCTCATAATTAATCTCCTGACTATGGATATTGTTATCCCACTTCATCTTTAACTCATAAGCTCTATTGAGATGACTTTTCCTTTGCATTTTTTGTCTAGTCCATAGACATATTGAGAAGTTGACAATTAAAAAAGTTTCTTACCAGCTGTAAACCTCTTTGTTTTTCTGCCAACCTTTCGCGTGAGATTTTAAGGATATTCTGAGCTTCAGCTATTTCAATTTGTTTAGGCCCCACCATCTTTAATAGAATGTCAGAACATTTAATTGTTAAGAAAGTCAAGTTTACCGCTAAAAATGCCACTTAAGTTTCAAAGACATTTATAGGCATTGATCATTAAGATAAAATATTCTTGGGATTAATACGTGTACATAAGGGATATAAAGTAGCTTGTTATCGTCAAACATATTCAAACAAAATAACAGCATAATAAGAAATGTGATAGAGGCCAGTGCCGCGGCTCACTAGGCTAATCCTCCACCTGTGGCGCCTGTACCCTGGGTTCTAGTCCTGGTTGGGGCACCGGATTCTGTCCCGGTTGCTCCTCTTCCAGTCCAGCTCTCTGCAGTGGCTCAGGAAGGCAGTGGAGAATGGCCCAAGTGCTTGGGCCCTGCCCCTGCATGGGAGACCAGGAGGAAGCACTTGGCTCCTGGCTTTGGATTGGTGCAGCGCGCCGGCCACAGTGGCCATTTGGGGGGTGAACCAACGGAAGGAAGACCTTTCTGTCTCTCTCTCTCTCACTGTCTAACTCTGCCTGTCAAAAAAAAAAAAAAAAAAGAAAAAAGAAAAAAAAGAAATGTGATAGGAGCACTTGGCATCTGTTTGAGTTGGCACGATATATTTGCAGCATTTTTCGTTAGATATTCTCTCCATATTAGTTCATTTGAGCATTGTTAAGTAAAAACAATTTCTGGGACCTTGATGTGTCCCTTCCAAATCATTACAGATACTCAGGAGGGAAGACTGTACCTTCTGCACTTCATGGTAGTTATTCAAAGCTATAATCCACTGGCACATGTAGCAGCAAGCAATAGAAACGGGAGCAATCTTGTGTGGTTTGAAATCAGGTAAGGTTAAAATTTTTTTCAGCTTTATGAAAACCTAGGAAGAATATAGTCCATGTGTTACATGAAAAAGAAGTATTACTGGGGCTGACAGGCTAAGTAAGCTGTGTGCAGCAGGCTAAGCTGCTGCCTCCATACCGGCATCCCATATAAGAACTAGTTTGAGTCCTGGCTACTCCACTTCCAATCCAGCCCCTGGTAATGTACCTGGGAAAGCAGCAGAAGATAGCCCAAGTGCTTGGGCCCCTGTGCTCACATGGGAGACCCAGATGAAGCTGCTGGCTTCGGCCTGGCCCAGTTCTAGCCACTGTGGCCATTTGTGGAGTGAAATACCAGATACAAGATCTTTTTCTGTCCCCTGTCCTCTGCCTTTCAAATAAAGAAATTAAGAAAACAAAAACAAAAAGCTATGATGAGCCTAACAGTATTTTATGTGATAATAACACCAATAATAAATTGAGAATGGACCATCTGCCATCCAATTAGTTCAGGAAACAGTTTAATTCTTCTAGGTAAGAAAGAAGATAAGCTATTAATTAATTTTAGCTTGAAAGAACAATGAGAACAAAACTATAGGGAATCCCACTTGCCAAGAATTCCTCAGAGTGAGTCCTTGCTGAATTAATTACCCACTGTCATGAGGAATACCGGTAACAACATTAACCTACCACAACATCCACATCCACTTTGTTCATAGACTACCCTGCACTCCTAACTGCACAGATCATCACCTTAACTAACTGATTAACTATCTAGTTAGTTACTTAACATCAAGGAATATGTTGGTCTTCTAAACTACCCTATCACGACGCAAATCCTTACTCACCCTGCCGGCCCAGGGCAGTGCCATTCCCTTTCCAAGAGGTGACCAGTCTGCCTGTGAGCTTAGCTCTCAGCTCAGCTCCCGTGGGCAACACCCCAGGCTGGCACGCAGTCTGCACGTTCGGGTATTTGTTACAGCATCAGCCACCTGTTGGTTCCAACAGGGGATGATGGACTAGAGCAGCTTCGTATTCTCTTGCAGCTCTGGAGATGGGGAGTCCGCCATTCAGGGGTAGGTCTGGCTCTACTCCCTCGGGTGGCTCCATCAGTGGCATCCAGCCTATTTCTGTGCACAGGGTGCTGGTCCAGGTCCTCGTCCCCTCTTGCCTGCTCTGCCATCCCCCTTTCTTCTTTCTCTAAGACTCCTCTGCCAGCATAACCTGCCACAGCTTGCTGGTGCCTCCAAGTCTGCTTCAAGTGTATTTTTAAAGGTTCATGAAAAAGTGCAAGGAAAAGATAATTTTGGTGCAAAAAATATTTTAAATTCATGCAGTTTTTTCCATGCTATGCATTTCCATGAATTTTTAAAGATCCCTTGTATTTGTCCAGTCCTGTTCTCTTCTTCCTTGAACTTCTATAGTAAGTCTACCTTCTGCATTAAATCTGCTCCAACAATACCCTTTATTAGTTTCCTATCATATTTTCTTTAGTTTTCTCTGACTTAATCTGTTTCCCATCTCCTTCCACATGGATTAATATCTGTGGAGTGGGGCTGGCATTGTGGTGTAGCAGGTGAAGCCTCCGCCTGTGGCAATGGCATCCCATATGGGCGCCAATTCGAGTTCTGGCGTTCCACTTCCCATCTAGCTCCCTGCTTCTGTGCCTGGGAAAGCAGTGGAAGATGGTTCAAGTCCTTGGGCCCCTGCACCTTCGTGGGAGACTCGGAGGAGGCGGCTCCTGGCTCCTGGTTCAGATACATACATTTCTGGCCATTGCAGCCATTCGGGGAGTGAACCAGTGGATGGAGATCTCTCTCTCTCCCTCTGTCTGTAACTCTGCTTTCCAAATCAATCAATCATTCAATCAATATTTTAAAAAAATATCTGTAGAGCACCAAGGACAATGCCTGGCATGTGCTGTTACACAAACAAGAACTCTTAGACACTGTTATCCATTGATCATATCTCATAGTATAACACAACCCACCCAGAAACACTTCCTCCCCTTATGGTTCTCTTCTCTTTTCCTCAGCATTTAAACACATTCTGAGTTGTGATATTTAGTAACTTAAGGGAAACAGTACTTTTCTTGACATTCCCAGGAACTCTGTTAAGTTTGTAAGTAGCTTGCCCTATGAACTTTCAACTCTTAGCATTGCCTTCCAATTCTAATGTGGAATTCCAATGCTAACATTTCTAGAGGATTCTCCAGATTACAAATGCAGAATTCATCAATTATGCATTACTTAGGTAGGGATCACCTTTTTACCTGGTCAGGGATGCTGTCCTTGTCTAGGTTAATCAATTTTTTGATGAAATCAGTTTCTGCAAGTAGTAACTTCACTGTTGTCCAGTTTGCGTTCCTTTGCAAAAGGATGCACACTGCCTTCATGACAGTCAGTATAAGGAAGGGAGGCTGTGTGTATGCTCTGTAATGGATGGGGTGAAAACATCACCTACTTCAGTCACAATCAAAGGCACCCACAAACTAGCTCACAAGACAGCACACACAGATCTTTAACAAGTATTTAGTCAAGAGCAGTTTGTCAATACACAGCTGTTGTACTATTTGAATAGTTACTAAAATTGGCTATCTTTATACAGGGTATTTTTGTTTTAATGAAATGCATAATATATAAATATGTAGAGTTAGAGGCTAATTCTTTTTATTATAAAAATATTTGCTTCAAAGTTATTTAAAAATAGGGACCTATTTCATTCCTGCATTGGTTTACAGCTGACTACTTGAGGGAGACACCAGGTAGGTAATTGTAGGAGGTGGGGGGGGGTCAGCCCTATTCTTGTGATTTAAGGAGTGCTGTATGGCCCCACCCTCTGATTATTCTTCATTCTAACCTATAATTCCTACAGAAAGATAGGGACACAACCAAGACAGGGAGGGAAAGGTGGATGGGTGTTCATCTTTGCTGGAATGTTGCCAGCTGCCTCTTAGCTGTACCCTAGGCAACTGACATGCCGCTGTACCATCAAATGGAAGTGGACCCCTAGGAAAATCAGGGATCAGAATAACATTCACAAGAAGGAAGTTTGAATGAAAAATCCTGGGAGGGCTGGTTGTGATCGTGTAATGAGCATTTGGGACTTGGAACAAGGTGGGGCAGCTCCATGTTAGGGTTATGAAAACCATGCAGACTTCCCCAAAGGAGGAGGAGTCAGACCGGTTGACAGGCAGCTGGGTTGACCCTGGTGGAACACAAAGAAAAGAGTCCCCTTAAGAGGGTCAAAGTGCTTGCATTTCCCCAAGGTTATCTGTAGCCTATCCCATGCTTATCCTATCTTGAGAATAGGGAGGGAGTGGTGACTCCACTCTCCTGAGCTCCCAGTTTACTGTAAAACAAGTTACCTACCCCACCCTTCTGATGGTTCTTTTGTTTCATCCTGAGCAAGCCAGATAGGGTAAATGAGATACAAATCAGGTCTTTTGATGGGGTTTGTCCCCTGCCTTTAACTGTTAGCTGATTGACAGTTTTTTCCCCAAAATTGTCCTTAAAAACCCCATTACCACCAGACCCTGGCCTCTATTGGAACTGCCTCCTGGCCACTCTGCCAAGAGATTTCTGACTTAAATAAATCTTGCTTTTCTCTCTGCCTTGTCCACTTGGAAATTCTTCCTTGTGAGACAAAGAACCAAGGAATTCTTTTCACCCGTAACAACAGGAGAACCAACTTAGCACATGAGAAATTATCCATAAGGGTTACCAATTTCATAACAAGAAATATTAATCTATGTGTTTGTTTGGACTAATCTTCAATTTCTTTAACAATCTACTTCAAAACTGCAGACGGTTTTCAGGTGGACTAAACAACTAAATAATGAACACCTTATTTTAACTCATTTTGCAGATTGCTTTTCTGAGATTTGATAGTGAGAAAGACAATAAAAGAAGAATCTGGAAAAGTGGATGAAGTCCACAAGGAAGTGAAAGCTCCAACAACAAACTTTCCCCCAATTTTGACTATTTAAAACATGGGAATATATTAAGCTGAACCGTGTTATCTATGACATTTTAAGGGACATTAAAGGGAAATTGGAGTCAACCGACTAGTTCAGTCTGTGTGCCACTTTCCAGAACAAACTTTCAACTCAGAGAACTGTCTGTACCGGAAATCCACTTTAAAGTTCTCCTTTACTTCTGAGAAGCAGTCTCCGAATCCTTAATGATTTACCCCAACCTGCATTTTCTGCTATCTTTTTCTTTCTTCTAGTGGCTTGTGTGGCAAAGTGGCAAAGGATTAAGTTGCTGTGGGCCTATCACTTGCACCTTGATGATGGAACAGCAGCTGGGGAGGGCAGTGAGCGAGGCTGGCACCTGCTAGATGTGTCTGCTGCATGTCCTAGCAACAGCGACCAACGTCAGAGTGGGAGGCACCCTCATTTATGCAGCAGTTTGAAGTGAGTTCAATGCCCACTAGCAACATCATGAGAGACTCTAAAGCAACCGACTGACCCAGCTGGGCACATGCAAAGGCAAGGCGGATTTTCTTTAGCTTCTGTGGTACCAGGGCAGGAGAAAACAGCTTGATCAGCTTGATCAGAGCACCGTTCTTGAGCAGCTGCCTCATGCAGACTGCCTGGAGCATTTCACGTGGAGCAATTCGCTGAGTCCTTTCGACAGCTGGGGAGCAGGCTGTGCAGCTGGAGAGCTGGAGAGCGGCAGTGTGGGACTCCAGCCCAGGGAGCTTGGTGTCAGAGCCCCTTAGGCCTCACCACTGTGATGCACTGCCCCTCAGCAGTCAGGCTAGAGGGGATCGGAGTCGATTACCCTTAAAGGCATGTCTGCCAGAGGAAATGAAAGGGGACAGAACCTTCTGGTGTGGGGCCAGGGGAGGGGGTGCCATGCTGGGGAGGACTGGCCCCTGTCAACTCTTGACGCCCCTCTCTTGCGCACTGGGCGGCAGCTGCCTTGCCTTCTGCAGTTCCTGAAACCTACCTAGCACATTTCTGCCTCAACAATTTTGTGCTTTCTGTCTCCTCCGCTTGGCACAAGCTTTCTTCGGACTCCTGACTGGTTTACTTCTAAACACTCTGCTCAGTTCTCTGCTCCAGCGTCAGATGGCCCCAGCTGGTGACTGCTATATGCTCAGGGTCTAGAACAGGGCCAGTGCATTTGCCCAGTGAATGAATAAATCAATGCATAAATGAATGCGCATATGGTGGGGTAAAAAAGGAAAAGGAAGTCCAGAATTTGCTCCCCTTCCCCTGTTTGTCTCCCTCTCTGCATTTGTTCTTTTTTGGACAGGCAGAGTGGACAGTGAGAGAGAGGGAGAGACAGAGAGAAAGGTCTTCCTTTGCTGTTGGTTCACCCTCCAATGGCCGCCACGGCTGGCGCGCTGCGGCTGACGCACCGCACTGATCCGATAGCAGGAGCCAGGTACTTATCCTGGTCTCCCATGGGGTGCAGGGCCCAAGCACTTGGCCATCCTCCACTGCACTCCCGGGCCACAGCAGAGAGCTGGCCTGGAAGAGGGGCAACTGGGACAGAATCCGGCGCCCAGACTGGGACTAGAACCCGGTGTGCCAGCATCAGTAGGTGGAGGATTAGCCTAGTGAGCCGTGGCGCCGGCCTGCATTTGTTCTTAAGCTTTAGGTGGATTAACTTCAGCACTGTCACCACAAAAATACACTGAAAAACACATTAAAAAATAAGCCTTTCTGTTCTTATCCCAAGAATAATGTGTCACAAATATCAAGGGTATTTGCTCTGGATTTCAGTTTCCTTTACTGAAATACTACTTTCTTTAAAAAGAAAATTCAATACATTCTAAGATACAATAAGCAAATTCCCATTGTTTGTCTAATTGGAAAACTCAAAAAGTATCTCACCAAAGATTCAAACGACTACCAACAGGATGAGATGTTTGTACTCTAAAGCATTTCATTTCTTCCGGTATTTTCTTAAGTACTATGCTTTAATCACTTTCCCACGGTGGGAGACAGAATATGGGAAAGGCACCGCAAGGGGATGTGCTTCCCATAGGCGGTGGCTGACGCTGCAGCCTCAGGTATGCATTAGAGCCTCCTGCTGGACCCAAACGCTCTCCCGCTACACCAGGAGTAGGCAGCAGGGGCATAAACATGATCCTGTTACTTTTGGAACTGCAGGCCAGGGATTTAATCAGTTCTAAGACGCACATTTTTATGTCTCAGAGACTGGGATTCAGTTTACAACAGCGAGCAGAGTAGTTTAATTGGCAGCATTTTTCTCTGTTGGGGTACATAAAATACTGATTTGCCTCAAAATTCATAAGAGTGTATGTCACACCTAATACTTCCAAGTAACCAAGAAGGGCAGAAATGACTTAATCTAAAAGTGGGGGCCGGTGCTGTGGCTTAATAGGCTAATGCTCCGCCTTGCGGCGCCGGCACACCGGGTTCTAGTCCCGGTCGGGGCGCCGGATTCTGTCCCGGTTGCCCCTCTTCCAGGCCAGCTCTCTGCTGTGGCCAGGGAGTGCAGTGGAGGATGGCCCAAGTGCTTGGGCCCTGCACCCCCATGGGAGACCAGGATAAGTACCTGGCTCCTGCCATCGGATCAGTGTGATGCGCAGGCCACAGTGCGCCGGCCGCGGCGGCCATTGGAGGGTGAACCAACGGCAAAAGGAAGACCTTTCTCTCTGTCTCTCTCTCTCTCACTGTCCACTCTGCCTGTCAAAAAAAAAAAAAAAAAAAAAGTGGAATATAGACTTAGTAACTTCTATCTATGCATTCATGTTTTATTCTGAGCTTTTCCAACTCAAAAGAAACTTACCTTAACTCAGTGACATCAGCTTCACCCAGGGCATTTAGAGCCAAAATTGCCTGGTCTAGAGCTGGCATCACATTTTTTAGTTCATTGGCAGTTCTCTGCAATAAAAATATAAGACCCCTCAATGCATATGAATGCTGTTAAATGTTTTACATTTTTTTATCTTTGAATTTGGAAGATAGAACTTGACACTTCCGTAATGCCCGTAAGCATCTTGTGAGACTTCACTACGTGGTGCATACAGGCTGACAGGGCTGACGGCACGTGTCACGGCCCTGCTGAACTGTATTTTCAGTCCCAGATGAGAAGGCATCAGCGACTGAGCAGATTCTACTTTCTCTGTCAGACTCAGCGTGCAGCGTGGAACTGACCACTCCCTTCGGAGGAGTGGTCCAGGTAAAGGTGGAATGCCTGTGGCGAGAGGAAGTGTGAGCTCTAGTCCCTCACTTGCACAGACCCAAGGCCCTGGAAGGTGCTTTGCCAACTTGTTGGCAGGGTCATTTTTTTTTTTGATTAGACTTGCAAAAGTAAAATATTTCACTTGCTGTTAGAACTCATTCCTTTTTACGTTTTGCCCCTCTGTCAAGTCCGGTGGCACTGGAATGGCTGTGGACATCTGGGTATCTGGCTAAGAGGCGAGTGGGAATCATGTTTATATTGTTCACAGTCACTTCTCTGTGCCACAGAGTTACTGCAAGTTACCTGGAAAAGAAACAGCTTCCAGAGATACTCCGCTGTTCTGACTCACCTGGGAATATGGCATTAAAGTGTAGGGCCAGGGGTCACGTTGTGACACAAACTTGCCCCCGACACTGGAAGTACATGGGCGGCAGAGGACAAACAAGGGCTCCAGTGTATGGACCCAGAAGCTGGGCTTTGGAAAGTCCTTTCAGTTTTTAGGCAGAGAAAATTCTAAGTGGAAGGTTACATTTTCATTGCTACCTGCTTAAAATAGAAGCCTGTTCCTTCTCAAGTGCCACTGATAAGCAACACATTGCATTCACTTTCTTTCTTTAAAGAAAGTGGGAGTTGCCGGAGCTGTGGCGCAGCAGGTTAACGCCCTGACCTGAAGTGCCAGCATCCCATATGGGCGCCGGTTCAAGTCCCTGCTGCTCCTCTTTTAATCCAGCTCTCTGCTATGGCCTGGGAAGGCAGTAGAAGATGGCCCAAGTCCTTGGGCCTCTGCACCCATGTGGGAGACCTGGAAGAAACTCTTGGCTCCTGGTTTCAGATCGGCGTAGCTCCAGCCACTGCAGCCATCTGGGGAGCGAACCAGTGGATGGAAGATCTCTCTGTCTCTACCTCTCTCTGTTTAACTCTTTCACATAAATAAATAAATAAATAAATATTAAAAAAATAAAAAAGAAAGTGGGAGTTGTGTGAAACACAATTCATCAGAATTTCTAGTTTTTTAAATAGTAACTGCTATATCTGGAAATATGAATGTTCCAATGAAAAAAGTGGGAAATTAGAGATTCTTTCTATAGAATATACAAAATGTGGGGCTGGTGCTGCAGCACAGTGAGTTTAACTGCTGCTTGCAGCATGCTGTATGGGTACTGGTTAGATTCCCAGCTGCTCCGCTTCAGATCCAGCTCCCTGCTAATGCACCTGGGAAAAGCAGCAGAGGATGGTCCAAATGGTTGGGACCACCCATACGGGAGAACTAAAAGAAGCTTGTGGCTTTGGCCTGCTGCAGCCTCAGCTGTTGAGGCCATTTGGGGAGCGAGCCAGTGGATGAAAGATCTCTTTTTCTCTCTCTCCCTCTCTCTCTGTAACTCTGCATTTCAAATAAACAAACAATCTTAAAAAGAATTGCTTAAAAAAACATGCAAAAGCTATCTTCATGTGATTTGAAAGTTTTATTTACAAATATATAGTTAAGATAAAAATTTGTGGAATATGAAATAAACGTGATTGACTGAGTATGAAATCAATAGAGATTATTATGATATTGAGGAACAAATCATAATGAAAAAGGAAAAAATAAATTTCAGATAGAACTAATGAATCATCTCAGAATAAATCGTATGATCACAATGGGCAAATATAAATTTTTTTGCTGAGTCTGAAAGAAATACTGACATTAATGAAAATAACACAAGTATTAGACAACTTACCTATACTAAGGACTCAATAACTATGTGTTGGAACAAAAATAAAAACTTTCAATGGGAGGGGTACTATTTCTTTAAGAGCAGTCTCAGTTTGACCCTTAAATTTAGGGATTAGGAAATAATTTTGCAAGTCTGTAAGTGATTTTTATTGGCTATAGTTTTTGTTTTACCTGAGCATAATCTTCCACAATTCTTATTTCTTCTGCCATAGTTTCTTCATCCCGTTTAACAAGTATCTGAACTTTCATAACTGTTTGTGAGTCTTTCTTTAGTTTTTCCTTTATGATTTCTTTTTCCTAATGAACCAAGCAGTTCTTAGAATGAATTTTAAGAGATGCTACCTCTTTTTAAAAGAAAAATTTCAACAGCACATTTCTTTGTTACAAAATATATCAAAACAAGCCTGAAATATACTTGCTTAATTGACTATGTTTACTCCAATAAATATTCCTCACAACGGATGAAAGAATAATGATGTGTGATTATTTTTCAAGCACTTGACTAAGTATAAGTTATCATAGCCTATTTCAGATGGATGTGAAGATGCTTAGGGAATCTTTCCATATAAGCTGCCACAGCTAGTTTTAGACCTATTAGCACATTTGGTTGAAATACAGAAGTGTTCCTATTTTGCTGCTATGTTTTCCCTCATTTTACAGATGAGAGAGACGAGTGTGGTTAAGTCGCTTCTTCCAGGCACGCAGCTACAGGGTAAGGAAGCTGGGACTGCAGCTCACCCTTGTCAGACATCTGAGCCTTTGCTCTCAGAGACCGTTCTCCGTTCTCCCTTAGACTACGAGGTCTTTAAAGGGGATTTCCAATCAAGCGTACCTTTGTTTTCTGTTCTATCTGAGGGCCAACACTGGAGAGCTCCTTCTGCAGGTCTGTAACCACTCTGCTTGCTTCCAGGATCTTGGAGAGACCCATGTGGAAATGATCCCTGCAGGAAAGAAAAGTACGAGTTGAGCGCTCCTTATCCGGAATGCTTGGGACCAGAAGGGCTTCAGATTGCGGGGTTCTTTAGTTTGGGAATGCCCACTTTACCAGCTGCGCAGCCCTAATCCACAACATCCCCAGATCTGAAACTGTGTGTCTCACAAAGTTTTGTGTTTGGGACTTTCAGATTAGGGCTGCCCATCCTGTTTTAAGAAGGTATAAAATATAACACAGCGGTAGCAAACATCATTTGATAATAAATGGAAATAATTATATGTTATGATCAAATGGGGTTTATTCCTGGGATGCAGGACTGGTTCAATATTTGGAAGCTGACTCATGTAATTCACCATATTAACAGGCTAAAGAAGAAAGAGCCCATGACCATCTTAATTGATGCAGAAAAAGCATCTGACAAAATGCATGATAAAAATAAATCTCTAAAACTAAGAACAAAGTGGAATTTCCTCTCCTTGATAAAGAACAAGTGTCAATAAAAACAAATGGGCTCTTATGGACGAGACCAGAAAAGATAACTGAGGGACACCAAAGGGACACACAGCTAACATAGGCACCTTGGGCTTGAAATGGAGTAAGTTTCTCAGAAGGGCACTTCCTTGTAGACAGGGTAGACCGGCTTTCCGAGCCCCTACCTAGCCACACAAGGGGGCCTCCCTACTATTCCCCTTCCCGTGTCTAGCCCTGGGCACCTGGGCTGCTGGACTTTGTGAGGGCACAGAGGGTTGGGCAGCAGACGACCCTAACCTTGTACTTCTTTAATCACCCAGCAGAACTTGCTGCACATGGACACTGGGGATAATGACCATGTCAGTTAGTTGACAGCCCTTAAGGTGGCCCGCCAAGGACCCTCAGTGGGCAGGAGATGTTCCAGGATAGTACGAGGTATGTAAGGGAGAAAGCAGACCCCCTGGGGGCAGTGTCTGGGTGTATGTGTGGGTCAGACAGGATAAGGATGGGGAAAAGGGTGCGTGTGCTGTGACAGAGACCAGTCACGCTGGTTACATGGCTACGAATGGAGAGCAACAGCCCTGAGTGGTGAAGGGGGCACCTTCGACCCCAGGAAGGCAGGAGTGCAGGAAGGGGTCATTAATCCCTCCTGACACGTAGGTGTAGGGCATCCCGCCAGTTTACCTGGCCTGTTGCCATCATCCTCAGTTCGACAGACAACCAACAACGATCTTCATCTTAGGACCCTCAGAAAGCTCCTAGGTTTCTCCTTAAAAACAGCAGAATAAGACTAACTCCGAACCTTCATATGATTCCCTGTGGGCCCTTTCTATCTGGACTACCCCAATTGCTCTAAATTATACTGCTATTGGGCTGGTGCCACAGCTCACTTGGTTAATCCTCCACCTGCGGCGCCGGCACCCCAGGTTCTAGTCCCGGTTCGGGCTCCAGATTTTGTCCCGGTTGCTCTTCTTCCAGTCCAGCTCTCTGCTGTGGCCTGGGAAGGCAGTGGAGGATGGCCCAAGTGCTTGGGCCCTGTACTCGCATGGGAGACCAGGAGGAAGCACCTGGCACCTGGCTTCGGATCGGCGCAGTGTGCCTGCCGCAGCGCGCTGGCCGTAGCGGCCACTTGGGGGGTGAACCAACGGAAACGAAGACCTTTCTCTCTAACTCTGCCTGTCAAAAAAATAAATAAATAAAAAAATAAATTATACTGCTATTGAATTTGTCATGCCCCACCTGATCTTGTTAACAAAAACTTACTCAAAATTAGACTCTGACCTCACATTAGCAAAATGCTGCTGCTGGTTGTTACTAGCTCTTATGTAAGTGTCAGACCCATAATTACTGGTCACACTCAGATTAGCCTAAATTCTTTTTTTAAATTTTTTATTTTTATTTATTTATTTATTTATTTATTTTTGACAGGCAGAGTGGACAGTGAGAGAGAGAGAGAGACAGAGAGAAAGGTCTTCCTTTGCCATTGGTTCACCCTCCAATGGCCGCCGCGGCCGGCACGCTGCTGCTGGCGCATCGTGCTGATCTGAAGGCAGGAGCCAGGTGCTTCTCCTGGTCTCCCATGGGGTGCAGGGCCCAAGCACTTGGGCCATCCTCCACTGCCTTCCTGGGCCACAGCAGAGAGCTGGACTGGAAGAGGGGCAACCGGGACAGAATCCGGCGCCCCGACCGGGACTAGAACCCAGTGTGCCGGCGCCGCAGGCAGAGGGTTAGCCTATTGAGCCGCCGCGCCGGCCCCTAAATTCTTTAGCATGAATGGTGATGGAAAATTTCATTGCTCTAGCTTCGTGTTGGTCAGTGGAGGTAGGGAAGCACAATTGGCAATAGCTGTTGCTGCACTTGGATTAATGTAAATTAATCCTGGCTATGTTGTATCCTCCAAATGAGAGTCAAGATCATGGTCGTGTCTCTACATAGCTCCTAAAGGCAAGGCTTAACGCAGCTGTCCAAAGCCTTGGAAGAATACCCTTGACCCTCCCAGAACATGACAGTATGGGAGCTCATGAACAGGTGCCACAAGGCCATTTTCCATTCTTGGCCCTATCTTTCCAGAGGTTGTCAAGAGACGTTTTCTCAATGCCTCCTGGGTTCCGATCAATACGAGGCTTCCCGCCCCACGTTTCCTCCTCTGCCTCCTCAGCACGGCCGCCAGCTGTAATACTGCTCACCTGCAGCATGGCATGGGCTCTGCAGCCACAGGGTATCCCAATGGCCGTGTTGCAGTCATCTGGCCCCTTTTATTTTAGTATCATTCCAGAGGACAAGCGACATGGGGAGGGGCACCATTAACTGCTTTTGATTTCTTTGTTTTTGTAGGTAATAAACTGTCTGACTCTAACAAGGGCTCATTGTTTGCTGGCCATATCTGCCAGCCTCGTCTTGATAGGGGCAGCCTTGGAATGAACACAAGAGAAATGTCCACTTCAAATTCTGTGGTGGTTGGCTTTTCCCACTACTGAAAGGCATGTTTGGGCTCATCCTTTCACGTCTGTCTCCCTTTTACAAACAAAGGCACCAATATAAAGTACCTGTTTCTGATTTGGTCTCAAAGTCTTACCTCTTCATTTGCATCTCCTCCTCTCGTGACCTCAAAATGTGTACAAATGTTTCCATGAACTGCAAGAAGCTACTGGGAGTGATAAAGTAATGCCAGCCAGTTTCTTGAAAGTATTTTGTGCTCAAGTCTTCCATACTTATGTGGAGTTGGACACACATCAGGGCAAGTTTTTCTTTCGAGACCTGAATAATGATAATTTTTAAGAATTAAGAGAAAGTAACTGAAATATACACTCAGAGTAGAAACTTGAACACTGGGAACAACCTGAAACAGTTTGTCATTTATGAGATGTGGAGCTGCAGAGAAGGGTGTGGGTGAATGAGGCCAAGAACATGCAAGTTTTTTTGGCTGAGATAGAGGTGAAGTGGAAGCAGCAGCAATATAGCTAATGATTAACAGCATTCTAGACTCATTCTCATAGGTTTTACATTCACTTTTGCTACAGCCATCGAAGAATTTACAGCACCTGCATCAATGGCTAGAAGTTATGTTTTTTTTTTTAATCTCTCATTTTTTTTAAAGTAGTTATCAAGATACTCAATATCAAGGAAGATGTTTTTGAGTAAAACGCAACTACAAATGACTTGAGTAAAATGTGACTACAAAAAACAGAAGTGCCCAGAAGACAGATGGGCAAAACCAGGGTACCTCTTGCATAGACTGGGAGAGGTTTCTAATTTATACTTAAAGCAGTCCTGGTTACACATCTCCAGTCTACCAAGACTAGTCAATTACTTGACACTTTTAACTCAACTGCATTTCCTTTTTGGATCCACTGCATCTCTATTATTCTTGACCTTTGATTTCCTTGAACATTTGGACAAGTAAGGGTACAAATTCCTTTCCAGGTCCCACATGGAGCTTCAGTTCTCTCTGAATTTACAACTTCTATTTCAGTCCTCCTTACCCTTGTCTGTTAACACTCTGGAACACACTCTTGCTTGGGGCTCATGAATTCTGGACTATTCATGCTGCGGCTTCTGCTCTCATTTCTTTGCAGTTCTGTTGTTATAGCTCATCCAGGGCAATTTACGAGGAATACACAGAATGTTACCACATGATCTGCTTGGGAAATGAAGGCTGTTTTCCTCCATGGAAATCTGCTATTCATGATAGGGGCAGAATAGTGAAGAGTCCCAGGCAGTGCAGAAACTGGGCATCTTTGAAACAGGGCAAATTAGAGGGCAAATAACATAGGGAAAGGATAAGAATCAAGATAAACACTTGACCCACTTCATAATTTGGCTTAAGGCTGCCTGTTTTTGCTCATGTAGGATTCACTGCTACTCAGAAACATAATAATTTCAGATATCAGGTTATAGCAAAAGCAATACTTAAAGGAAAGTATAGCCTTAAGTGCCTACATAAAAAAAGGGGTTTAGAATAACAACTTAGCAAATGTAACTCTAAGACCTAGAAAACCAAAACCAAATCAAACCCAAAATTAGTCAGAAGGAAAAAGTAAAACAGATCAGGGCAGAATAAGCAAAATGCAGACTTTAAAAATGTGTGAAAGACTAATGAAGGGGCCAGCACTGTGGCGTAGTGGGTAAAGCTATTGCCTGCAGTGCCTGCATCCTATGTGGGTGCTGGTTCAGGTCCCGGCTGCTCCACTTCTGATCCAGCTCTCTGTCATGGCCGGGAAAGCAGTAGAAGATAGTCCAAATGCTTGGGCCCCTGCACCCGCATGGGGGACCCGGAGGAAGGTCCTGGCTCCTGGCTTTGGATTGGCACAGCTCCAGCTGTTACGGTTAATTGGGGAGTGAACCAGCAGATGGAAGAACTCTCTCTCTCTCTCTCTGCATAACTCTGACTTTCAAATAAATAAATAAATCTTCAAAAAATAAAAAAAAGACTAGTGAAACACAGGGTTAGTTTTTTGAAAAGATAAACCAAATCGACAAATATTTAATTAGACTAAGAAATAAAGCCCAAGTAAATAAAATCAGATATGAAAAAGAAGACATTACAATAGACATTACAGAAATACAAAGGATTAAGGATTATTATAAACAACTATATGCTGTCAAATTTTAGAAAACCTAGAAGAAATGGATAAGTTTCCAAACATACATAACCTACCAAAATTGAACCAGGAGAACAAAGAATTCATTTGAACAGATGAATAAAATAAGGAATAAGTTTGAACTTATTTTTTATAATAATCATTTTATAATCAGTAATAAAACTCAAGGGCTTTTTATCAAATCTTTAAAGAATTAATGCTAATTCTTCCCAAACTACTCCAAAGTACTGAAAGGGAGGAACCTTTCCAAACTCATTCTATGTGGCCATCATTACCCTGCCACCAAAGCCAAACAAGGATACAAGAAAAGCAGAGCAATAACCCCAAGGAACACAGATGCAAAAATTCTCTACAAAATACTAGCACATCAATCCAACAGCATACACACACACACACGCACGCACACAAGACTTACATCATGATCAAGCAGGATTTATCCAAGGGATGTAAGAACAGTTCAACATATGCAAACCAATAAACACAACCTACCACATTAATAGGATAAAACCATATGATCATCTCAAAAGATGCAGGAAAAACATTCAATAAAATTCAACATCTTTTTTTTTACAGGCAGAGTTAGATAGTGAGGGAGAGAGACAGAGAGAAAGGTCTTCGTTTCCGTTGGGTCACCCCCCCAAATGGCCAGGAGCCAGGTGCTTCCTCCTGGTCTCCCATGGGGTGCAGGGCCCAAGCACTTGGGCCATCCTCCACTGCATCCCCTGGGCCACAGCAGAGAGCTGGACTGGAAGAGGAGCAACTGGGACAGAATTGGTGCCCCAACCAGGACTAGAACCCAGGTTGCTGGCGCTGTAGGCAGAGGATTAGCCTAGTGAAGCACCGGCCCTCAACATCCTTTCATAAGAAAAATACTAGAAAATTAGGTAATAAGGAATATACCTCAACATAATGATAGCTATATATGCATGACAAGCTTATAGTCTACATCATACTGAAAGTATGAATGGGGAAAGGTTGAAACGGATTCCTCTAAGATCAGGAACAAGACGGATGCTCACTTTCACTACTTTTATTAAATATAATATTGGGAGGTTTAGCCAGAGCAACAAGTTTACTTGTGGAACCCTTTATTTGGTGGAGCATTAAGCCTTTGACTGTATATTTCTAGAAGTTGACTTTAGTGGGCATGCTGGGCTTGGAGGGAGAAAGATCCAGTTTACTTTCTCAATGGCTTAGTTCTGAAAACCATAGAGTAAGACCTATTTCTGTTAAACTGCATCTAGCTCCTTGGAGACTTCATTTTAAGACAATCTATGATTGGTTTGGTTGTTGGTTTGGAGAAACTGAAGAACTTAATATAGCCCCTGGACAGATGACTCTGCCCAAGTTCTCAGATCCTATTTGTCTAGGACTCATTCTGTAGAGATGATTCAGAGTGCTAGGCATTGTTTTCTTGCCTTAGCTCTAGAAATTTTTTTTAAAGATTTATTTTACTTGAAAGTCAGAGTTACACACAGAGAGAAGGAGAGGCAGAGAGAGACCTTCCATCCCCTGGTTCACTCCCCACTTGGCCACAACAGCTGGAGCTGCGCTGCGTCGATCCGAAGCCAGGAGCCAGGAGCTTCTTCTGGGTCTCCCATGCAGGTGCAGGGGCCCAAGGACTTGGGTCATCTTCCACTGCTTTCCCAGGCCATAGCAGAGAGCTGGATTGGAAGTGGAGCAGCCAGGTCTTGAACCGGCGCCCACATGGAATGCCAGCACTGCAGGTGGTGGCTTTACCTGCTACACCACAGTGCTAGCCCTGTGGTCTAGAAATTTTGTACTGAGCATCTTGGAACAAAATATTACAGGAAAAATAAACCTACATAGACTTCTTCACTATTGTTCAAATACTTTCAGCAACTAAACATTCTAGGCCCTGGTTTCTCTCATTTAATCTAGTCTTCATCTCTCACTATCTCCTTTTTTTTTTTTTTTTTTGACAGGCAGAGTGGACAGTGAGAGAGAGAGACAGAGAGAAAGGTCTTCCTTTTTGCCGTTGGTTCACCCTCCAATGGCCTCTATGGCTGGCGCACTGCGCTGATCCGTAGGCAGGAGCCAGGTTCTTATCCTGGTCTCCCATGGGGTGCAGGGCCCAAGAACTTGGGCCATCCTCCACTGCACTCCCTGGCCACAGCAGAGAGCTGGCCTGGGAGAGGGGCAACTGGGAAAGAATCTGGTGCCCTAACAGGGACTAGAACCGGGTGTGCCAGCGCCGCAGGCGGAGGATTAGCCTATTGAGCCACGGTACCAGCCCTCTGACTACCTCTTACTTGATCACTGACAGCCAATTCAACTCCATTACCCTTGAGGTAACAACCTTTTCTCTTTGAACTTTAGTTCTTTCATTGAATCCTGACTACATGTTCCTGCTCTCTGTCTTAGCAATGCTCCTGGCTCTTATTCCCTCATTCACTTGCCAGTTTTAGCACTTTACTCATTCCTCATGGCAACCCACCAAGCCACAGGGAATTAAGGGAAGGTGTTTGATGGCTCATGTGTGCCTTGAGGGTTAAAATTTACTAGATTCTGGTTTTGCCGAAATATTGGGCATGATTTATTAAAACCCACATCAAACAGATCAAAAGGATATAGCACTTGTTCTACAGGAAGAGAAGCTAAAACCTTGCTGTGGATTATGGGTTATCCAAAAGCAAAGTAACCAGGCAAAAATCAAGAATACAAGGGAACAGTAACAAGAATTCTGCTTCATATAACTTAACTTTAAGAACGACTATTTCCATAAATTAAGCAAATATTTTTTTTCTTGATCTCAGAGTTCAAGCCATATTTATAAGTGTGTAATTCAGCTACTGTTTGGTTTAAATGGGCTTGTTGAGCTAGCCTCTAAAATGTCATCATTTTGCTGTTTTTCTTTTTTTTTCTTTTTAACTTTTATTTAATGAATATAAATTTCCAAAGTACAGCTTATGGATTACAACGGCTTCCCCCCCCCCATAACTTCCCTCCCACCCGCAAACCCTCCCTTTCCCTCTCCCTCCCCCCTTCCATTCACATCAAGATTTTTTGTTTTTTTTATAGGCAGAGTGGATAGTGAGAGAGAGAGAGAGAGAGAGAGAGACAGAGAGAAAGGTCTTCCTTTTTGCCATTGGTTCAACCTCCAATGGCCGCCACGGCTAGCACGCTGCAGCCAGT